GAAAAATGAAGGAAAATGATTGCTATATTAATAAGTGATCACAAAACCACTCTTAAATTGTTGTTGAGAGTGTGGTGGCACGACAACTGCCCAGGCACCTGGATGAAGCTATCTATCTAGACCCGTACCAGTCGGGCTTCAGGCAGGGGCACAGCACAGAAACGGCATTGGTCGCGTTGGTGGATGATCGCTGGAGGGCCCGGGACAGGGGTTGCTCCTCTGTCCTAGTCCTATTAGATCTCTCAACGGCTTTTGATACCATCGACCATGGTATCATGCTGCAGCGGTTGAAGGGGTTAGGAGTAGGGGGCACCGTCTCTTCCTTCCTCTCCGGCCGCTCGCAGTTCGTGTTGGCAGGGGGGCAGAGGTCGACCTCGAGGCATCTCGCATGGGGAGTGCCACAAGGGTCGGTCCTCTCGCCTCTTCTGTTCAACATTTATGTGAAGCCGCTGGGTGAGATCATCCGTGGTTTTGGGGTGTACTGTACGCTGATGATACTCAGCTGTACATCTCCACCCCAGACCACCCCAACGATGCCCTTGATATGATGTCTCGCTGCCTGGAGGCCGTGCGGGTCTGGATGGGGAGGAACAGGCTCAGACTCAACCCATCCAAGACCGAGTGGTTGTGGCTGCCGGCGTCCCGATATAGTCAGCAGGTGCCATCGCTGACTATTGGGGGTGAATCTTTGCCCCCCACAGAGAGGGCTCGCAATCTGGGTGTCCTCCTGGACGCACGGCTGTCTTTAGAAGAGCATATGACGGCCGTGGCCAGGGGGGGCTTTTATCAGGTTCGCCTAATCCGTCAGTTGCAGCCCTTTCTGGACCGGGACACCTTGCGCACGGTCACTCATGCCCTTGTCACCTCCCGGCTGGACTATTGTAATGCTCTCTACATGGGGCTCCCCTTGAAGAGCACTCGGAGGCTCCAGCTGGTCCAGAATGCGGCCGCGCGGGTGGTTATGGGCGCAACTCGTGCCCACGTGACGCCCCTCCTGCGCAAGCTACACTGGCTCCCAGTGGTCTTCCGGGTGCGATTCAAGGTGTTGGTTACCACCTTTAAAGCACTCCATGGCATAGGACCCGGGTACCTTCGAGACCGTCTTCTGCCACCAATAGCCTCCCACCGACCAGTCCGTTCCCACAGAGAGGGTCTCCTCAGGGTGCCTTCAGCCAAGTTATGTTGGCTGGCGACACCCAGGGGGAGGGCCTTCTCTGTGGGAGCCCCAGCCCTGTGGAATGAACTGCCCCTGGAAATACGTAAGATCTCCGACCTCCGGGTGTTCCGCTGCGCACTGAAGACCCTGTTGTTCCGCCAGGCAGGGCTGTCAATATAATAATTTTAAATTGGGGTATTTTAATTTTTAGGGTTTTAAATCGGCCAAATCTATTTAATTATTTTAATTTTTAATTATTGTTGTGTCTTGTGTTTTTAAATTGGCTGTACACCGCCCTGAGTCCTTCGGGAGAAGGGCGGTATAGAAATAAAATTATTATTATTATTATTATTATTATTATTATTATTATTATTATTATTATTATTATTATTATTAAATATCTGAAAGGATGTCAAATATAAGAGAATCAAAGCTTGTTCTTTCTTATTCCAGACTTCTGAAGAGGAAATAATGGAGATAAGCCAAAGCAATAATCAGCTGAGTTGCAATGTGAACATACAGTTTATTTACTGTAGAAAGATTATTCAAGAATTAATACTGTTACAAAGATATAAATATGTATTTATATTTATATCTATATAAATATAGGATCTATGCTGACAGTTAAATTGTCTATAACAATCCATGAATGAAATATTATCTGGTAAAATTTCTGATCTCTGAGGAGGGAATAAAGAATGTATGTGAACAAAATGAAAAGGGGTTTTAAAATGCTGAAGGAAACATGGCCAGATATATTTTGAATATCCCCTCAATAGTCTCCGCTCTTAATTCCTCACTAACACAGTTAATATGACTGAAATCTCAATTTAATTGACTGTTAAATATGTAACAAATAATTCCAGTACTCACTTTATTCCAGGTAAAATATCCAGTACTTTCGCGAACGAAGGTAAATATCTGTGTCCCAGGATCCTGCAACCCAATACTCTCAATAATATAAATACTAAATAATGTACCGATCATTAAAAAAAATCAATATAAAGGAGACTGCAATCACCTGAGTTAAATTCACAGTTTAAAAGCCACTACAAGTACTTACAGCACACTGTGGTTTAAGGTGCATAAGGATACATCCCCCCGCACAAATTTATTAATTTGAGATTGAATTATATGAGACAAAGACCAGTCAAGTCAAATACCTTCATTCAGACCAAATGAGACCAAATATTGTTCTGTGTATCAAAAACAATTTCCTCTGAAGCAAAGATTCATATATTTCCTGTTCTATCACTAACCTTCTCTATGCACCAGAATGTTCTTTTCTTCATAAGGGCCTTCATCCAGATAAACCTTGACTAAAGGGTCTTGTGTTCTGTCCTTCATAATGCAGTGTTCCGGGGAGGTATGGACCTAGAAGCTCTGCCAAAGTACAACAAATCCAACCTCTTGATTTCCCTGACAGGGAGAGTTAAGATGCTTAAGACATCCATGTCTTAATATTTCTCCTCTCCCTAAAACAGAAATATTCACTTCTGTTCCAAGAGGAAGTGACCGATGCTGGGGACTATATGCCATATGGTTTTTCTGTTTTTGTCATATAGTTAGTTTTATGATTGTATATATTGTTTTATGGGTTGTAAGCCATCAAGAGTTGGTTTTAAAACGAACAGATACGGTATATAAATGCTTTTAAATAAATAAATATGCAGCACTGGAAATTCCATTCTAATCCGTATCACTAAAACCACTGTTAAGTTTTGTTTCATTATAAATTAAATACAGTGATGGTAGGATCATTCTGCCTTCATATTAGAACCAAAGGTTTGAAGTTCTTTGCTTCTAGGTGACTTTCATAACATGCCTTCAGTCTCCTTATAGACTGATGTAAAAAAGTTTTTAAAAAGTAATTGTTAGTGTAACAACATCAAGCCATGAAACTAGCAACACCATTGATCTTTGGGTGGATTTGCCTGTTGAGAATACTTGATAAAATGACTTTGAAGAAACGGGTATAGAAAATGAATAAATAATAAAATAAAGGCACTGGACTAGAATACTCCAGAGAAAATATTAGAAATAGTATTGAAATTAATTAAGCAGCACAGAAAGAAACAAAGATAACATCACACAACTATTAAAACTGGAAATAAAAAGTAGACGACTGTGTGATAGACAACAATAATAACAATGATAAAACACAGACTTAAACAATTCCCTTCATAAGAGGTTTGAATATCTAGCCAATTTCTGTAAACAGCATGGTTTTTCCAAATTAAATTTGATTACCTGTTTTGCGATACAATGTATATTACTGGCAGGCTGTACAAAGGTTTCTTATTTTTCGGGGAGTTACGTAAAATCTTATGTAGCAGTGGGTGACAAAGGTTTTATTTATTTCACATTATTATCTGTTGACTTTAAAGGCCTAAGTACTGAAGAGATGGAGCAATAGTTAGGTCAATGATTAAATGAATAAAATAAGCATATACAGTAAATGTTTAAAAGAGATTTTATGTTACACTTATTTTTGAAAGTCATAAACGGTTTTATCCTTGAAAACAAGCCAACATTCTGCACAATATTTCCTTTCAGTTTTTAACACATACGACATACTACCACTATCATATTTAATTCCTAATAATAATTCATAAATTATAGATTAGATTGCAAACAAAATGTCTTGCAAATGTACATTCTGATTATGTGTACAGCATTGGGAGATGAGAAACTCATAGAAACTCTGAGAAGCAGCTGATATCAGATGTAATGACTAAGGAATGAAAGAGAGTAATGGGATCAGTAATTTATAGTAGGCACCATTGAAATAAAACAGCTATTTATTTTAAAAGATAATACTATGTTATGATTTGGAATTCATCTGAAACTTAACAGACTAACTGCATTCATATGAAAAAAGGATAGAACAGGGTGTAAAAGCAGACAACATTTAAAATTATAGAGGGATGTTTCAAAATGGTAGGAATGATAGATGCCAAAATATATTTTAAAATGTTATTTTGATATATAATTTTGATTTCTTTGAGTTTTATTCCAATGTATTCCATCTTATCAGTTTACGTATCAGAAAGAAACAGGCATTACTGTTATCAAGCTAAATTTCCCTATAATTCTTGTCTCCTCATATGCTAACAGGTGTGTGAGAGGGTGTATGCGTCTGTTCGTGGATTTCATTCATAAAATTGTGAATTGTATAGATTTCTGAGGAAGTAGATCTCTATTAAGATTTGTTCTCAATAACAGATCTTTTTTGATATCTGAAGTAAATTGGCAATTATGTTTTGGAATAATCCGTGTTTGGTTTAATTCAGCCAAATGATGTTCTGATAACACATTTCATACAGAAATAGTTTAAAGAATAAATAAATTCTGCAAGAATAAATAAATGTACATAAACATTCACCTAACATTTGTTAGGCTAAATCTTTCTTAATCTCAGTGCAAGATGAATGTGTACATTTCTTAGCTGTGGCTATGTGGATGGGAATTGTAGCAGTTTTAATTGGCATTTCTGGTGATGAGATCAGATTATCACTGTGATGATAATTAACTTGTTTTCAGAATATTTAAGTTACAATTAAATAGTTGTTAAAAAGGCATAAACATAGCTGCGCTATTTCTGGCACTTTCCTGCCGTTTTCAATACCTGGAATTCCACTTGGCCTTGATCTCATACACCTTTTGGTTGTCTTATTCAAAGAAGCATAAACTGGCATTTGTCAACATACTTTTAAGTTACTGCCCAATAAGAATCTTCAACCAATCACGATAAGCAACATATCCTGCCCAGGAACTGTGCTGTATCCAGTTTATAAAGTTCCTGTATTTCAAGCCTGTTTAGATAGAAAGAAAGTACTGTTAATGAGTAAACTTTGTCTACTGCAGAATTGAGTCAATGGAGAGGGGAGAACTCCGCTAAAGTGGTCATGTTTTCACTGAACAATCCTGTGAAAGTGAAAATCAAAACAAAAATGTTCCTGCTGAAAAATCATTAGGAATTTCAATTCAAAGCAAAATCGCCGATTCTATGAACACATGATATCAGGTACAGGTTGCTTAATGCTTGTAGTTTGGATAATTTATAATTTTGAGTGCGTTGTTTTCTGCAATTTCATTCATTTTGTCTTATTGGAAGTTTTGACTAACACATGAATTAGTACAAGAATTTGCAATAAAGTGAAAAATAGGGCATTGTTATTTATTTAGTGTGTGATAAAGGACTCCTATTTTAAAAAATTATAATTTGCATTAATCTGTGGGGATTAGCTGCCAAAGCACTGTTTTTTCCATTGTTGAAATATATTGATGATTGATTAAATATTAATTAATAATTTCATAAACTTTCAAATTGGCTTATGATCATTTTTTCATTAAATTTAGCAAGTGTCCTGATGAAATTTGATATTTGTTTTATATTTCTGCTGCAGATCCAAAAATGTGAAGTATTGCCATGGTGTGTAATATGAAAGAAAAAAAAAACAGAAAAAATTAATTATTATTACGGATTTACAAGCATAGGATCTTGTGCAATGCAAAATCACCTTTCCGTATTCTTTTTAGCATTAATTTTATTGACAAAGGTGAAATGAATTTTCTTTATTATAACAGCCACTTCCAATTCAGTGGTTCTGATAATCCTTTTTCTTTCCTCCAATATTTAAAAAAATTCTTGTGAGAATTTGACATTAATACCACTAAGTACCACATCATTACTCTTCATTGTATGATTTTATTTCTCTTTTAAGAGGAAATATAAAACTTGTCTTTACATTACTTTCTTAGTATAAACATTTTTCATAGAATCTCTGGGCCGGCATTGATCTGATAATGATCACATAGGCCTGACACCTGGCAGTCCTATTACTTTGGTTGATAAAGGGACACATTTAATTGGATGTACAAATACTCTAAGAGAGTATCATTCTTTATTCATTCGTTTCTCATGGGTTTATCTTACTTCAAAATAAAATTAAAAATATGGGCAACAGCACACCACCATACATAGAGGCTGCAATAAAATATCAGAACACAAATGAAGGCAATGATTGTAATGCTCAGTACATATAAGGTCACTTTACGTACAATAGCCATTTTTTTAACCTTTTCTAATAAATGTTTTAATACAAATGCTTAATTGATGAATATTTCTATCCAAAGATAAAAATATGAATTTGATTGCATACTCTAACAATATTGATTTCAATAAATTTCAATGAACAAAACTGAAATATATGGATTCAATTCACACATTACATTAAGCCATAATGTAGCTTATCTGGCTTTGGTTTGGCATAATTTGTGGACCCAGCCAAGTGAGATTAATTCGATTAATAGTGATGAAACAAACCAGGATGCAAAATAAGAATTTGGCCTTACTTCCTACACAAAAGCCATGAAGATTCATACAAGGAAAGTAATAGAAAGCTTGCATAGAGATAAATAATTATGCAAAGAAATTAGATTCTTTTATCTAAACAGTATTAATAGACAATTGTATAATAATACAAGTTTAAATTTTAATTTGATAATTTTAATATAAAATAGCTGTACATGGCCAAAGTGGTATGTTGTAAATCATGCGTCTTCAAATTTGTGAGGTTTCCCAGATTTTTTTTCCAAGATTGCAAAAGCTTTGGAATTGTAATTCATATACAGCTAAATATGCAAGATTGAAAAAGGCCTGAATATGGCAGCACTAACATCTAGGGAAATGTTATGGTTATGTAGAAATGACTAGTTGATTTTACAGAGTTTACTTGATCATCAATAAATATATATCTTGGAAATAATGAATACTTGGAATTATTTTCAGAATATTTGCTAATTTATTGTTTACCCTGCCTTTACAATGAGATAAAGTTAGTCATCTGATCAAAATGTATAAACATGATTGAATTGCTCTCTATAATACATAGAATGTAATAATACAATATTAATATAATATTAGTATATATACATGATGCTGGAAATGTCAGATAAATATTATCAGAACAGAGCCTGTGAACAGTATGTTGGATTATATCTTAGTTCAGACATTTTAATGTCCACTAAAACAATTCCAATAACTTTGTATTTTCCAATACTTTGATGTTTGACAGTGAGACACCTTAAATACAGTAGCCCATGGATGAAGGCTAATAAATAATAAATGAATAGATGAGTTTGTTCAAAATGTGGAATATTTCCACCAAAATATGAATCTATTTGAAGCATGTTATACCAATATGGACTAAGCTTCTGATGAAGTAAACAACAGCTCCTGAAAGGTTATTATTTTTAAATAAAATGTGTCAAAAAAGTGCTACCAAATTCCTAATTTTGGGGCTATCATAATCTAAAACAGCTCTCTTTCAACACTGCCCCCAATAGCAGTAACTGAGAATGCCTTCATGGATAATGGCATATGACTTGTGGATGGACAAAGACTTAATGAATATAGCAATAGCAGTTAGACTTATATGACCACTTTACGGTGCTTTACAGCCCCTCTAAGTGGTTTACAGAGTCAGCATATTGCTCCCAACAATTTGGGTCCTGACAGTAATGCTTTCCAGCATGAGTTTTAGGCAAGTGTATCTATTTTAAAAATGGGAAGTCTCTTAGCCTGAAAACAATCACACTGTAGTATTACATACATGGGATGATCCACATGGAAGACTATAAGGCTTGTTTTTATTTGCTGTCAAATCCTAAACAAGGTTCTAAGAATTATTAAGAATATAGGCAGTTCCAAACAGAGTGGTGGGCTTTTGTTTTGTTTTTGTAAAATTAACATATGATAAATTTAATATTTCTAGATATGCTTTAAGTATTGTCCAAGGACTCCAGTCACAATTGCTATAACACTAAATTTCTTTTTCCATAAGCATTCAACCTTGATCAGCAAGTCCCAGTATTTTGTATTTTTTTTACTAATAATATTCTTTTTTATTAGGTTTCATCGCTGTTTGCAAATCTTACATTAAAGATTCTATGGCATCAGAGATGAACTTGATCAATCATCCCCAGCTATCTTCACCAGATGGATTTTTTCTTTCTGAAGGTCCTAATTTATTTGGTAAATCAGAACTTACATTAATAGAAATACAATATTTATAATGAAAGAAAGCTAACAGAGAGTCAGTTTGGTCTAGTGGTTAAGGCACCAGGCTAGAAAGCAAGACACAGTCAATCTAGTCCTATCTTAGCCATGAAAGCCAACTGGTGACCTTGGGCCAGTCACTCTCTCTCAACCCAATCTACCTCATAGGGTGGTTGCTGTGAGGAAAATAGGAGGAGGAAGGTATGTTGCAGAGGTGGGTTTCAGCAGGTTCTGACCAGTTCTGGAGAACCGGTAGCGGAAATTTTGAGTAGTTTGGAGAACTGGTAGTAAAAATTCTGACTGGCCCCACCCCCATCTATTCTCTGCCTCCCAAGTCCCAGCTGATTGGGAGGAAATGGGGATTTTGCAGTAACCTTCCCCTGGATTGGGGAGGGAATGGAAGTTTTACAGTATCCTTCCCCTGGAGTGGGGTGGGAATGGAGATTTTACGGTATCCTTCCCCTGCCACGCCCACCAAGCCACGCCCACCAAGCCATGCCTCGCCCACCAAGCCACACCCACAGAACTAGTAGCAAAAATAATTGAAACCCACCACTGGTATGTTGGATATATTTGCCAGCTTCTGTTATCTGTAAAAAATAGTAAAGGAAATAAATAAATAAATAAATAAATAAATAAAAATAAATAAATAAATAAATAAATAAATAAATAAATAAATAAATAAATAAAATACAGTTCTCTATAATTTTAACTAATTTACTATTTTTAGAAATGCCCCAGTTAGTTTTTGTTGATGCTATAAAATGAATGAATAATAACACAGTAAATAACTAAATAAAATTAAAGAAAAAAAGGCAATTCAATGGTAAAGCACACTATTAATGCAATAGGAGAACACATATACTGTATAGCAGGTGTGTCAAACTCATGGACTGTGGGCCGGATGCATCATGCGGTAGCCATGCCCAACCCAGATTAACAAAGGGGGGGGGAAAGTTGCGATACATCACGTAACAACAACATGATGCCGCGAGTTTGACACCCCTGCTGTATAGAAAAAGATCCCAGCTAGTGTCCTTCACTAAAAAGTTCCTGTCTGAAATCCTGGATAGCAAATATCAGTCAGTGCTTTGCTCAGTGTAAAAAAGATTACAGTCTAATTACTGAACATTCAAGAATTCAGACTCCTCAGCTGTTCAACCATTCTATGGTTCTTGATGGTCTTTGAGCTTGGTGGTTTTCTTGCAAATATTTTGTTAATGTTACCTAGTTTGGCAATGAAACATCTGAAGGAAAACCACCAACCTCAGAGAGTACCAAGTAACCCTCAGTTTAGCCTTGAACCATAAGTATTCTCTTCAATCAATTCTGTGGTTCAACCAATTCTATTTCTTGGCTCTGTCCAAATGTCTTTCCCCATCAGGTCTTTCCCCATCATTCAGCAACATTTACATTTAGTCAAAGTATATATCATGTGAGAAATTCATAAACTCTTGTGTAGGTTTTGTTTTGTTTTGTTTGAAAATATAGATGAAAGAATGTGGTGATCTGGAGTGAAGTCTTGACGATGGAGAAGATGGGAGGGGGTGTTAACTGTTTTTCCTTTGCGATTCTTCTGCATTCTTTGAATGTCTGAATTATTCCTGCTCTCTGCCTCTTCCCCTCAGCTGTTTATCTTTCCATCTTCCTCATAATACTTCCTTTAGTCTGTCTGTCACAGCTTTTCTGTTTTCAGCTGTCAGCATATAAGGGCATCCCATCAACTCAGCCAAAAGATAAGACTAGATGGGTTTTGCAAGCAATGAGCAGGTGACATCAGGTTTTAGAATAGAAAAGATTTTCTGAGAGTGTATAAAATACAATCCACTTATATATATATGATGAGAGCTAAATAGCTTGAAATAGATTTATACTAGTCTCCCTTTATTTCTTTGTCAGTAAATATAAATTTAACACAATATATATGTGTGTGTGTGTGTGTGTGTGTGTGTATTGCTTTCAGTATACAACTGTTTTTTTATAAAATGAACAGTAAAATAGTTTGAGTAAATAGTGATTTTTTTTCATATATTACATAGTTAGCATTATTTGGACATATGTGTACAACAAATAAGCTATATAATGAATGTAATAATTTTATTTGGATATTTTTGCCATGGTAATCAGTAACTCCTCAGTATTCCTCACCATGTTTTTTTGAACACTGATTTTTTTTGGTAGGAGTTAATTTCTCCCTCACCTTTTGTCAGTGACAGGCAGCTAATGTGGTATATTCCCACATGGCAGCAGATCACTCAACTTGGATTCAGAACCATTGGCCAGTGAAATGAGAGGAGCCCAGCTGGTAGCAGGACTGCATTGCAGAAAAAGCTGATTGGAATATACTGATGGCCAGCAACAGCATAAAGCATTTGGCCAACTTGAGACATGATGAAAAGCCCCCAACCTCCTTCAGAATTCCCTTGTTTATAAACATGCTTGAATCAAGTCATTTATATTTTTAACACGGAGGTGATTCTCCCAATAGATCTCTTATCTTGGGGGGAGGGGAAAGAATAACATGTGTTTCCCTATGAGGCAAAGAGCAGTCCTTCTCTAGAAACAACTCTGGCAAATACAAGAGGAAAATATAATTTGGTATCAGCAGTCGACCTATTTACAATACTGTCATATTGACTTGCTGGCTGTTACAATGAGGCATTTTGATGAAGCAGTTCATTTCCCACAGCAGTTTCAGTAATGGTTTCAGATGTCCTTGTCTTAGGGATAGAATAAGTTTTCATATAATTTTTTTCCATTGTGAATTATATTGGTTGATTGGCTTATTTTATTAAGCAGTATTTTTATAATTCATTAAAAAAACAAGAAATACATAAGAAATAATACAGCAGGCAAGCCTATAGTTATGAATGCTTCTTCTGAGAGCAATTTTTCTAAATTTCACCAAATTGGGCTGGACACTTGTCATAGCTATTTCCTCAACTTATTTCTCATGATAAAGTTAATCAGTAAACTGTGTAACCTCTGCCCTACTGTTTCCTTGGCTGGTCTCAGCGGAAGTTTTACTTATCATTTGTGATTAGAGGTTTGGAAATTAAGAAAGCAGAAGAAAAACCATATTACAAAATTACAAAATTTTCAGGAACGCTACTTAAATTGTCAAAGTGGTGTGCTCTTAAAAGGTAAGATATCAGGCCAATTTACTCATTTACTATTCTTAATACTAGATAAGATCATTTTATAGCAGTTATAATGAAACCATGCCTAGACACTGCTGTTTACGACCTAAGACATCCAAATACTATTATTTCTTTTTGTATGTATAACTGATTCAGTTTGGAGTGAGCATTTTCTTAGTCAATACAATAATTTCTAATATGGTGATTTTGGTTCTTCTTGTTTTTGATTTATGGTAGACCAATGTTCTCCTTCCTGGTATCCTCCAGATGTATTAGACTACAGCTGTCATCTTGCCCCAATCAGCATAGGTAGGTTGAAAATACTCTAAAACATGTAGACTATTTGGTTTGAGAAATTGAAATATAATATTAAGACTCAAGTATATTAACTTCTGATAATTTGATAATACAACATTCCAATTGTGAATAACATTGTGATTAATAAGGAAAAGATTTCCCCTCTCCAGTCATGTCTGACTCTAGGGATGGTGCTCATCCCCGTTTCTTAGCCAAGGGAATCAGCATTGTCTGAAGACACTGAAGACACTGTGGTCATATGGCCAGCATGACTATATGCTGAGGCGCACAGAATGTTGTTACTTTCCCACCTATGTGGTACCTATTTATTTATTTGCATTTGCATGCTTTTGAACTGCTAGGTGGGTAGGAGCTGAGGCAAATAATGGGAGCTCACCCTGTTGCACAGCACTTGGATCTTGAACCCAGGCTGTCAGCTTTTCAGCTGACAAATTCAGCATCATTAACGACTGAGCCATCGTGCTCCATATTGTGATTAATAGTATTATCATTATTACAATGTTTATTTGATTTTAAAAGGATAACCAAGGACGTTTACTAACTAGATAAAACTAGTGTTTGTTACATAATCTTATTTAATGAATTAATAAGCTAGTAGCATTTAATGGTTCTTTAGAAATCAGTCAATCTTTCTTTTGTAGTCCATAGCTTATATTTAAAAAGTATTGTTTATGAACGCAAATGATGTAACAAAAAGTTACATATATAATATACATCTATCCTGACAAACACCAACCTCATATTCCTTCAGTCCTACTCCTCTGAAAACTCCTCCCACCTGTACTGGAGAAAAAATAAAATAATTTAAGATAATTGTAAAAAAACAATATTGTATCATTTCTTTATTGTGCTTTCAGAATAAATTTACTCATTCATTTGACCATAATTTGCTTAAATAACCCAATGTTTATATGACATACTGGTTATATTCTAAATACAGCTTTGGTCTTCGTTCTAGTCTAAAATATGGCTGGGTTAGTTTGTGAGGATATCTGGGAAAGGAAAAACAGAGGAAAAGGCTACCAAGATCAGATAGAAATAATCTGATTTGATATTGCTTGAAGGAATTTGCATTTGTTAACCCTTGTAATGCCACTATGTAAGATTTATAATTGACTATTGAAATGTTTTATTTAGCAAAGCTACTAGTTTCAATGGCTTTTTAAAGTGTCAGATAAATTTAAGGAAGACAGAGATAGAACTTTGATTATTTAGTAAAAACAAAATGTTTTATTGGTTGAATCAAATTGCAGCCTTCTTTGAAAAGAAAAATAACAACTGTAAGAAAGTGGTAATTTCAGATTTTCAGCACTGTACTTTTAAAATGGTTCCTATGAATATTTATACTGAAAAATGAATAGAGCAACTGTTTTTGCATTGAGTTCACTTAGAAATATTTAATCATAATTTCAAACTCATTGATTCTGTTCACACAATACAAGCCACCTACATTGGAGTCTAGCAATATTTATACATGATTTTGTCAGCAAATGTACTCATATAGTTTTAGCAACTGGCAGTTCAATATTTAGAACCAAGAGCTAGATGGACACACAACCATTTTTATTCCACTATGTAAATATCTTTGGGATAGGAGTGGTGAGGGACGGGGAAAGAGAGAGGCTTTTCTTTGGAAAGCTGAGTAGTCTCTCACCTAGGGAAGGGAGGAGACAAGAGAGCAATCTCCATTGCATCTTTCCCATTTACTTTTAAAGACTGCCTTCTATATGGAAAAGCAGGCCTATGAATCCTGGGGAAACATTTCATATGCAATATAGAAATTGTTCCATAGCCCCTACCACAGCCCTACAATCCACCACTAATTGGCATATGTGTTGTATATGTGTATAGTCCCCTCATCTGGCATACACATTTTCCTGCATAAAGTTTATATACATATCCACAGACACCTAATCAAATCTAAAAAGAATGAGCATCCAGCGAAGTTAATGAGAAAAAAGAAACACATTTATTTTTTAAAAATGTATGTTGTAGATCCATCACAGTGGAACAGAGGCTCCCAACCTTTTGGGCACCAGGGACTGGTTCCGTGGAGAGAGGGTTTTCCACAGACCAGAGGGGGAGTGGTTTCATGTGCTACCTGCATCCCGCGGATGGGGCTTTGCTTGTTTGCGCAGTCTCGTTTCTGGCATGTGCAGTCCAGTGCCAGTCCATGGACCAGGGGTTGGGAACCCCTGCTGTAGAATCTCGGTTTAATAGACCATTCAGGGGAGAGGGTATCCACCAATGTAAAATTTCTATTAAATTCATATCTGTCATTTTCATCAATATGAATACTCTGTAAAATCATGTAATTGACAAAACTCCTGCCGTATTCAGTAAAAATTCAGTATAAAGGGCAACACCCTCATTTAATGTATAAAATCAGGGGGCTGTCTAAATAAAGTAAGCATCCATCTCATATCACAAATTTGTTAATCTAAGGTGTCACTATAATGAGACCCGAAGCACACTGAACAATCTCAGCTCAGAATGATTGAACATTAATATACTCTCGAAGCATGTACAAGAGGAAAAAATGACAATGATTATTTTTAGTGAAAATAACTGTTCTTAGAAGATTGACTTAGAAATATATGTTGTGTTCTTATTGAGGTTTACATCCGGATCCAACGATTTCTGCAGTGAAAGATACCGATGTGTCATCCTACTCACAGTACAACTCTATGCATTTTTGCCCAATGCAGCCTCCAATCACTTTACCACCTTATTATTCAAGTTTTAGTCTTCATCCTCAACAATCTGAAGAATGGCACTCCCCTGTAATGTATGAACTTGGAAAAATGTCCTCTAATAACTTACAAACCAAGGAGACAGATCTGGTAGACATTCCTGTAGCCAAAAAATCTCGGATGGATCTACTCTCTGGAAGAACAAAAGATAAAGAGCTGTGTGTTGTCTGTGGTGACAAGGCCTCTGGGTACCACTATAATGCCCTGACTTGTGAAGGCTGCAAAGGTAGGACAAATTTTACCTTAAAGTTGCCAAGGTTGAGAAATACTGTTTAGATTCATAAATGTCTGCCAGTAGTATTACTATAATAAGGTTGTGTGATTACAGAGAGGTCAACAGATGGAACTATGTGACAAGATCATTAACTGTTTAACAAAAGCTTCAGAAGTAGGTTTGCTTCACTATCAAGTAAGGAGGGCAAGAATCAAAAAACAATGGGGGCTTTGGTTGCTGGATTGGAAGCTTTATTACTAGGCTTCTTCATTAACTTGGGTGAAAGAATGGATAAATCTCAGAAATAGAAGACTGTTATTGCTGGAGGAAATGATCTTCAATTGGGATGGCATGCCTTTTTATGGTATAAAAAGAATAAAATACATAGATATTTTCAAAGACACTACTTATGTAAGGAATGCTCTACTCTTAATATGGGAAAAAGCTAAAACAAAAATTACATGAAAATACCAGTCAGGCTTTCAACAATGGAAGCACTGATCCATCCAAATGTTGTAAACTTGGGGAAAGAACATAACATATTTTGAATGATAAAGGGGAACTGAAAACTAAACAGGAATTACAAAACCAAGGGGTAGAACTAGCATGGTGGCCATATTTGCAAATACAATCAAGATATGAGAAAGATTCAAAGATATATGGTTTCTATAAAGTTCTATCAACAACACTTGATTGGATACTACTAGCAATGGATGAAAAATTAATACAGAAAATATATAGCTATTTATTAAGTCTTAAAAGGGAAGATGAACAAGTGAAAGAAACAATGGTAGCTTGGGCAAAAAACTTTGGATATATTATAGAATTAGATAAATGGCAAAACTTTGGGATAGGAATTATAAATTGACAATGGGAACTACCTACAAATAAAACCTGTATAAAATGTTTTACAGGTTGCATTTGCCACCAGCAAGGCTAGCAAAGATGTTTAAAGACATGCCTGCTAAATGTTGGAAATGCAATCAAATACCAGGGCAGGTGTATTGATCTTATAATTCCTTTCTAGTGCATTTATCTTGCTAGGAGTAGAAAATTTCCTTACCTGGAATAGCTTTTGTATTTAATATCAGGCAATAATCTGGTCACACAATTGAAAGATTGAGAGATGTGTGCTCCAAGTATCACATTGTTCTATGCATATATATAGGAACATTGTTAGAAATAACACTCTGTAACAAATCAGAGCAGAGTAGCAAGCATTCTACTCCAAATTGGGTGAAAATATATTTCTCCAGAAGATATCTTTGTGGATTTAGAAGCCTATATATATGGTATAGAATATTGTATTTAAGGAAATTTAGTTTTCAAAAGCCTTGCTCAAACTGAAAATGCTGCCTTTGCAATCAACCAATCATTTAATCAATTTTTATTCAGTCACAAATCAGAAAATAAAAAAAGAAAGTCCCAACTAATTAGGGGGAAAAGGGAGGGGGAGTTCTAAAATATCTAAAAAGGATTAGAAAACAAACTACGGTATACTGTACAAACTGTAAAATAATAGTTAGTTATAGTCAAAGAAGTAACAGCAGAATGATCTGATAATAATTGATTTGTTAAGATAAATAAATCTAAGTTAAGTAAGGATGTTAAGTAATGAATAGAGATAATTCTTTGCTGCCTTTACATGATGGATTCAACAATAAATCTTATTTAGTGCATTAATCTACTGCTTAGTTGGGGTTTGTCTATGGAGACTCTCAATCATCCAGGTCATGGTTGTTCAAAGGTTTTTTTTTTTCAAAAGGCAACTGGATTTATTTAGTTTTTAGCCCCAATCGGACAGGACCACATGTTTGGAACTATGTACCAAAGATGACAAGTTATTGTGACTGGAATGACAGAACACCCTAAGCCAAGGCCAACAAATTTACATTACAATGCAGTACAACATGTAAGCCAACTTGGTTCAAATAGCATGATAAACTACCATGACTGGTACTTCATATATGTACTTCAGCCTATGTGGTTGATAAAAGATGGCTTATGGGTTAACAAAAAAGTTGACTGTAACTTAGCATGACATATGAACCTACTTAGAGGATAACAGAATATATTTTAGAATTAACCATTTATACTCGTTAGAAATTCAGCCTAGAAACTTTTACTGTGATCTATTTGTGTAACTAGAAGCATCTTAAGTTTATTTATTTATTTATTAATCAAATTTCTATACCGCCCTACTCCCGAAGGACTCAGGGCGGTGAACAGCCAAGATAAAATACAGATAATACAAATATTAAAAATCCCTTAAAATTATTAAATATTTTGGCCAAAACACAGATTAAAACACCTAATTTATAAAATCCCGAATTAAAATTTTAAAAGAGAAGAGTTAGGCCAGGCCAGCCTACTGAAATTAGTGCTGAAGTTAGTGGTATTCATACAATAATCATTTTAGTATTGGTTTTAAATCTGAAATATTATTCTGCATATATCATCAGGTTTCTTCAGAAGGAGTATCACTAAAAATGCTGAATATAAGTGTAAAAATGGAGGAAACTGTGAGATGGACATGTATATGAGGAGAAAATGTCAGAAGTGCCGTCTACAAAAGTGCAAAGCAGTAGGAATGCTGGCAGAATGTATGTATACAGCTATTTTCATTTTTTTAATATATAATATAGGAGCTATGGATAGTTAGGAAAAGATTATATGGTCTTTGCATTCACCCATTTAGAAAAAAAGTGAAGATCAGATTCACTGTGGGTATTGTACTTAATTAACATTAGACTTATAATTGTATTTTATTAAAATTTACTTTCTTGGCATGTGTTGTGTTTTGTAAATATGCAAGGATAGGATTCAAGCTGTTGGGTGTTTCCTATTGATAGCTTCAGTTATTTTAGCATAATTGCAGTATCAAACCAGTTTAAGTTCATACCGGAAATTAATCTACTCTGAATTTTTAATATGCCTCCCAATCTGATCACTAGATGCTATATCAACTCTTATGCTTTGTAGAAAACAATAGACTCTATTAGCATTTCAGAATTAATGAAAAAAATTATAGTATAATTGACTCCCTCATGCTGTCAGTTTAAAAGCAAAGATCTTGCTATATGCCCTCTCTGCCCTCAGTGGACAAGCAGGCAAACAAATGAGGCTGCCACGGTGATCAGACCCCCCTCAATGAATCTGTAAGCTTGCCATAAAAATAAGCTTTCTTAAAAATAAAGTCAAGTTGTTCCCAGAGAAAGAGGGAATGTGTGTATCTTCAGTACTGTCAGTAATTCAGTATCTGATAATAAAATAAACAGGAAAAAATAGGGCAATGTAACTAATGCTGCCCAAGGAAATGGAAACTTTCAAACCAGCTGGCCATTTTCTCAGATAGTCTTGAGTGAAGCAAAGGCCAGCAATAAGGCACCGTGACTTAAATCTCCCTCTGAAATGGAAACTTGTACTTTGTTACTATGAGAGTCATATAACTCATAATTTAAACATAAGCAGATTCTTGTAAAGTACAGGAATGAGGACATCATGCAAGTTGTAACTACCTTCGAATAAGGAGTGGTGCTGTTCATTTTTAGTTTAAAAACAACCTTCAAGGTTTGCCGGATAGTTAAACTTGTAACTTTTTTGTAAATTGACTTTAAGCAAAGTGATCTCTTTGAAATTAACATTGCCTTGGACTTTGAGCCTTTACTCATAAGACAGTACTGCAATTATTCCTGTAAAATGTTGCTATGCTGCAAAAAAGGGGGCAATCTTACGGTTTTTATTACTTTATTTGTGCATTCCTGAATCATCATGATCTAGTGATTACACATCAAGTTTTTGTGCAGTTAGAGATACGTTTCTAAGCTCAAAAAGTAGAAAGTGATCCTCACTCAAATTGGGTTCATGCTTTGTTGGAAAGACAAGCTTGTCATTGGAAATAATTCTGAGATTTTATTAAATGGCTTAGAAGGATATATGGTTGTTCTTGTAATACAGTAAAAGACATAAAAGAATACAGTAAAAAATGGGGTGGGGAACTAATACAATAAAACTATTTGTCAGATATTTGCTGTTCTGTTCAGTACTGTTTGGTACTGTTATTTAGAACAAGAGACATCATCTGAATGCATGAAATAAGCTATCTGGCCCTGGTTTATGTATAACCATGTGTTTTCTGATTCATGGATGTATGAAAATGTCTTTTTCCTCTAGCATATGAAGCAACTGTCACCCTTTGGTAGTATTCATAATGTGATTTACATTAAACACATCTGGAGAATGCCAGTTTGCTCAGTGCTGAAACAATCAGTCAGCACTAAGTCTAGTGCCTATGTTGTGATTCTAAATGCCATTTTAATCTTTGGAGATATTATGTGGAATTGTTATTTTAATCCCTTAAATTTCCTCTTCTTTCAGTATTAGAGGAAGTTTGATTTCTGTGGTGGATGATTTTATGATATACAGGATATTAAAACTATTCATTGCTGAATTAAGCATTTTCATAGATATCTTCCTCAACAATATTTAGTCTCTTTTATTCATTCTCCCAGGTGAAAAAAATGTATTTATATATATACACACACACAAAAGTATTCCATTTGTTATGGTTGCTATAGCCCTGCATCATCATTTCTGTATTGTTGGACAACAATATTTTATCTTCTTAAACTGATATAGTAAGATTACATTTTTAATATTCTGAGTAGAGAAATATGTTGACTGAAGTTGGCTATATTCCTTTGAACAATTGTTATAGGTGGGAGGAATGACATAGATCCAGCTTTGGCAATAACTTTACAATTTTGTTTCCACCACCATGTTTCAAGTATTAATAGAACAGGTAATTTGTTGAAATAATGTCAGTAAGTGAATATCTCTTTAATTTTTTTGAGAATGTATTTTTGGAATTGATTTAAGTTTTAATATAATATGTCGAATGAGCTCTTGATTTCCACCCAGCTATTTCAACCTGGGTCTCTGCATCATGAAAAACACTTCTGGGGACATAGATTTGCCTTTCTCTCTATAACCTCACATACCTGGTGTACCCAGGGAGAAGGGACTCTCATAGAACAAGAAGATGATTAAATTAGCAAAATCTTTCTTCTCCTGTTTTCCTTCAGAGTGATAGGAAGAATCATCCAGCAGCATTTGGGGACATATGACCCTAGTTGCCAAACTAACTTTGTCTAGGAATGGATGTAGTTGCATCTACCCCTGGACAAGTTTTCCTGAACATGTGAATTAATTTTAAAAAAAGATGGTATAGGAGATTGTAATTGCACATTGAGTCTTTATTTGTTACTTTTGGAATTACCAACATGAATAAGTGACAATTGTACAAATTATAAGTATTCATTTTCTCATATTCAGGTTTGTTAACCGAAATCCAATGCAAGTCAAAACGACTAAGAAAAAACACGTTACAGCCTCCAGAGGAGACTATTAGTGAAGATCCTGAGAGATCTGACCTGAAGCAAGTGTCATCTACAACTAAATTGTATAAGGTAATAAAATTACTGTAGTTCTATAGTATGATACATTTAGTATGTATGGAAGACTGAATAAGAATTCTGACAAGGAAATTTCTACTACCTTATAGAAAGGTGAACTTTAAATAAAACAAATAAGTAAGTCTTCTGTTTGATGGAATAAACCATATACAGTAACAGTACAAATATAATTTAGATGTTATTTATGTGAAAAAAGTGTCATTGATGACCTTGAGAGTATATCAGTTTATACTATGATATACTCAGTGTGATGATCACTCCAAAAATATTGTTTATCTAGTTCTAACATAGATCATGGTATGAAACTAGCCAATTGTGATTTATTCAGTAAACCATGATTAAGCAAACCATGGTTTAGAATGGTATATGAACCATCTAGAGCAGGGTTTCTCAACCTGTGGTCTGTGGACCACTGGGGGTCCACGAAAGCTTAAGAAATCTTATGATTTAAATCTTGAGTTAAGTCTTGGGGGTCAAAAAGTATTTAAGAGGGTCAGTGATGAAGAAAAGGTGAGAACCACTGACCTAGAGTATTGATGCAATAACAAATGGGGCTACTTCGCTGTAGGGGTTTAGCTGCCTGGCTAGAAATTGGGAGACCATGAATTCTAGTCCTGACTTAGGCACAAAATAAGCTGGATGACCTTGAACCAGTCATTCTCTCTCAGCCTCAGAAAGCAGGCAATGGCAAAACACTTCTGAAATCTTGCCAATAAAATTGTAAAGACTAGTCCAGGCAATCCCCAGGACTCTAAGGCACAATGAATTAATTAATTACAGATCTGACAAGTTTTATCTTGGTTGCAAAGGGTGTTCCCATCATATACACATAGTTTGTATAGCATATGATCTTACTACTCTTCTGTTCTACATTTTATATTCTGATGTGGACTAATGACTAGTCAATGTATTATTATTATTATTACTAGCTTGATATAGCCTTGAATCCCTTGAAAAAATATGTATGTCTAAGTCATTATTGAAAAGAAGTATTTATTGTTTGATTTTTGCATGTGTACAGATAGTCCTTGAGCTATCACCACTCGTTTAGTGATCATTCAAAGTTCTGACTATACTGAATGTGTGATACTTATGACTAGTCTTCAAAGTTCACATGATCACAATCTGGGCACTTGGCAACCGGTTCACACCTATGGTGACTGCAGCATTTTGAAGTTATTGATCATCATTTTCAACCTTCCCTGCTGGCTTCCCACAAGCAAAGTCAATGGAGAAGATATCAGGGAAGGTTGCAAGTTGCACCCATCAGTTGCTTTTGCCACTTTTTCTTCCCAAATACCCTGTTATGGATCTCATACTCAGTAGCACCACTCCACCAGATCCACTCTCTATAGCACTTTCCCATGGCTCCTACCAGTCCATCTATATTTTGTAAAGTCTACCTGCAGCCTCAGCAAACCCATCAACCATCTGTGGACCCTGCCTACTTGCCTGTACTTGTAGTACTCTAGCACACAGACACCCCACAGCACCAACATACCCTCCTCCCTGCACTGTTTGCCTGGGACTCCAACCTCTTCTCATTTAGCAAACTGCAGGGTCCTGGGGCTGCAATAACAACAGAGACTGCTGGGATTGTGATTGCCAAGTAATGTAGTCATGTGCTGTTGCATTTTATGACTGTATCATTTAGTGATGAAAATTCTAATTCCAATTGGTGGATTGAGGGCTACCTATAATGCAAAAGTAAATGATTCCATTATATTATTGAAATCAGGAAAGATGCTCAAATGTGTGTAGTTAAATCTATGTATGAAGTAGAAAATCATGCTCAGTTACGGTTTAATTTTTTTGCCAGTATAGGAGAAAGTAAAATTAAGCCCAGAACAACAAAATCTTCTTCGTTATATAATGGATTCCTATAATAAACAGCGGATTCCTCCTGAAGTTACCAAAAAGCTTGTAAGTATACATGCCTTATCTCTCATAGAATGATTTAGTGATCAATATTTTTGGCCTAAAGTAGTGTGCAAATGACGCCAATGAACAGTAGGGGTTTTAATGGTTATTTTGACACCACTGTACCATATTGGCTACAAAATTCAGAGGGCCATTAGGTGGCGACAAAGTTTAAAAAGAAAAAAAAACCTTTTAACTTGTCATTATTTGGGCATCTTCTGAATTTTGGCACTCTAGCTGAAGTACTGCTATTTATATTTGGTCTGGTCAAGCATCAAGTGAAAGCACAGAATTTGGATTCAGATCTCCTAACAAGCAGAACAGAAAGTTTTTATTTGTTGTACAAAATGTTGAATGTGGAACATCCTGTATTTTCCATCTGCAGTGTATAGGATTATGAGACTTTTAAACTGCTATATTGTCTTCATCTATTTTCTCTTATTGTGGTCTAAAATAATCATTTTTCTGTAACATTCATACTTTAATAATTGTTCAACTATTTGGTATTTAATCCTATACATTTCAGATAGTTGTTAAAGAAAAATTAATAACTCATTTCTAGGATTCCTATTTTTTTATCACTAGTTATAATTAATGATTATTTTGTTTTGATTATCAGTTACAAGAGGACTACAGTGCAGAAGAAAATTTCCTTGTTTTAACAGAAATGGCCACTAGCCATGTTAAAATGCTTGTGGAGTTCACTAAAAGATTACCAGGTAATGAGATGTTGAATAAATTTGGTCAAATTTGATTTTTAATCAGAGAGAATTTTTTATTTTATATTCCTTTATATCCTTCTAATCTAATTAATACTCAAAGCACCTAATAAAATATTTAAAAAATAAAAAAAGAAAGTAAAACAATAATATTAATAACATTTAAAAATTAAATAACCGATGAAAGTTGTTTTATAGGTTTTATAAATACCGAGGAGGAACATAAACTTCAGGATGACAACCACTTTAAATTCAATGTTTCTGCTTAATAGATTGGGGATATCGTATGGCATATAATTGATCATACTAGCATCTCTTTCACTCCAGAACATTCATTCCCTCTTAGAGTCACCTTTGACCAACCTCTTTAGAAAACAGAAATCAATTATGTCAGCCTCCACCCTCCATAATTCATGCCCTTACCCTTTGACCTACAAGATCTGTTGCATAGCAAATTGTTCAGCAGGTAATATAAGTTATTATAGCAATTAGAGTAAAGAGTTTCATTTTAGGCCTCAATGTATTGAAATAATCAAATAATAAATTTCAGCATCTTCATTCCAGGTTTTTCATTGATGGAAAAAAAAATCTGTTATACTCTTTACTTGTATATAATTACAGTGATCTTTTATTAACTCATAAATTCTTAAGTGAGCCCCACCAGATCTATTGTTAATTTGACAGCATATTATCAAGCGCTGGGAAATCAGGAGATTCAGGCAGTTCAAATGAGTATAAAGATTTATTGCAAGCTTAAGCCCTCTACAAGAATCTGAGCTACTAATGGTCAAGGAAAGTTAAGAATAGAAAGGAATTCAAGGAGGGCTGAACTTAGATATTTTGTGGGCACAAGGGAACTCATGACTGATGATGCATTTGATACCTCCCTAGGGCTCAGCCTAGTCATCTCCTACACATATAAAGATCTTCATACAGCCCTCTCATTAGAAAGAGTCTATGGGGGGACTTCCGGTGGCACCGTAGGCGCCGAAGACGCTCCTTTTGTGAGCGCCAGCCCCGCGATCTCATAAAGCCGCTAGAACAGCGCAAATCAGCTGTCTAGAGGCTTGAAAACTTTCTCCCCGGGAAAAGGGGAGGAAAAGAGCACACGGGTGCAGGTAGAGCTCCCCAAGAAGCCACAGGAATAATTCTGGGGTTCGAAGGGTGAGAGCTCCCTGGAAGCCCGACAGAGCTCCGGATCCGGGACGTTTCTGCTTTAAGCAGAAGAAGACGCCGCAACCACCCCTGTAAACAACGCTTGGAATAAAACATCATTCGGAAGCAGGCTGAGCAAACTCAGGAGAGATCAGATTTGCAAGTACTAAACTTTAACTCCAAATGTGTATTACTTCCTTCTGATTTACTAAAAGTGAAACCAAGATGGTGATTGAGCTTTAATGGGGCGTGAAAGCAAAAGTTAAAAAGGAAAGTTTTATTTAGCGCTGGCAGCCCTGGTCTAAAATTAGAGATTTTTGCTTGGAAAGAAAGAAGATTAAAAGTTAAAAAGACTATAGCATTTTTTTGTTTTTTTTTTAAAGGATTGATATCATTTAAAGACTGGAAATCTCTGGATTTGGTGGATTTGTTGTTCTGGTTGCTGAATAAATTTAAATTGGAAACTAAAAATGGCTTCAAAACAAATAAAGACTATTGTTCCTAAAAGTGCTGGGAGCTCACCAGCTCAAATGTCCAAATTGCAATCTCTCTCTCTGTTCCAACGGAACCACCAATATTAACACTTGAAATGTTGCAGGAAGCCCTTAAAACACAAGCCTCTGTTATAGAAAAAAAAATTACTTCGGTGTTTGAGGATAAAATTCGAGATGTTGCTGAGGAGACGGCTCAAATTAAAGAGTTCATTCAAAAATGTAATCAGGAAATTAGAGAAGATATTATCATGGCAGTCCAAGATCTGGCAGGCCATATTGAGGCAATAGATGAAAAAGTGGAAGAAATTAAGCAGTCTAATGAGAATTTGGAAAATAAAGTGGGAGATGTCCAGAATAAGATGGAAAGAGTTGAGGCCGATGTGATGATACAATATAGAGATATGGAATTTGCTTTGAGAATAAGAGGCCTCAAAGAAAATAAGCAAGAGAATTTGAGAGAGATTCTTTCAGAAGCATTTGCACAGATAATGGGAGATCAAAAAGCAAATCTTGAATGGCAAATTGACAAAATTTACCGTGTCAATTCATGGGTTGCCAGACAGAAACATCTACCAAGAGACATTGTAGCTTATTTTACAACAAGGAGAATACGTAATGAAATCCTACAAGTCACTTTTAAAAACAAACTTCAAGTGCAGGGGCAGGAGGTTTTAATACTGAAAGAAATCCCCCTCCCAAAATGTTGAGAGCCAGAAGGGATTATGGCTTTCTGGTGGAAGAACTGAGAAACCGTCAGATACAGTACAGATGGGAGGTTCCAGCTGGACTAGTGGTGAACTATTCAGGAGAGAGATATCGTCTTAACTCAGTGTGGAAGGCAAGAGATTTTTACACCAATGTACTAAAGGCTGGATGCCCACAGTCCCCAGAAGTTAGAAGGAAGACGGAAGCAGAGGGGGCAAGAAAGGGGGAGAAGGAAGAATTGCTGGTACAGGCCCAAAGGGGAGCTTTGATTACTCAAGAAGATTTAATACAACTTTCGACTACTGTTCAAGCCTTGGAGATAGAAGAACCTAAGGATCAAAGACAGACCCAAGCGGCAGCCAAGTGTCAAGAAGAATTAAGAGTGCAGCAACTTCAGATGATTCAAGAAACTACAAAAACAGAAGCAGTGGGAGGAGCAAGGCCAAAAAGCAAAATGCATGGAGATTTCCAGCAGATGCTCCAAAAGCTTCAGGGGCCCAAGAATGGCAATTAGATTTCTGACTTGGAATGTTAATGGCCTAAATTCACCACAAAAGAGGAGAAAAATATTTCATTATTTGAAACAGTTTAAAAATGATGTTATCTGTTTACAAGAGACTCATATTAGAAGTAAAGATCAAAAATATTTAATAAATGCAAGGTTAGGTATACATTTTGTTGCATCTGCTCCTGAGAAGAAGAATGGTATAGTTATATACTTAAAAAAAGACTTAATTGCCAAATTAATTGAAGCAGATGATCAAGAAAGATTTATAGCAATTGAATTTTTAATAAAAGGAGAAAAAATACTTTTAATTGGAGTATATGCACCGAACCAACAACAGGAAAATTTTTATAAGCTTTTACATTCCAAGTTACTACAATGGGATTACAAATCATGCATTTTATTGGGTGATTGGAATGGAGTTTTGGACACTAAAAAAGATAAGAAGGGGCTCTTGCAAAATATCTCAACGCGTGCTAGATTGCCAAAATCGTTTTTTGAAATGATGGATGATATGGAGTTGAGAGATATCTGGCGAGAGAGGAACTCTGAAGAAAAAGACTTTACCTTTTTTTCTGATAGACATCAATCTTTCTCTAGGATTGATTTCATATTAATTACTAATGATCTTTTTTCTCGGGTGACGAAGACGAAGATTTGTCCAAGAGTTTTAATGGATCATAGTCCAGTTTGGATGGAACTAGAGTATGGAATGGAATTTAAGAGGTCTTGGAGGTTAAATGAAAATCTGTCTAGATATGAGGAAAATGTAAAAGAATGTAAAAAATTTATGAAAGAATTTTTAATTATAAATATACATAAGGGTACATCTATGGAAGTGGTTTGGGATGCAAGTAAAGCATATATGAGAGGTATTTTGATATATTTGAATAATAAACATAGACATAAACAGGAAAAAAAAAGGAAGGACTTAGAAGATGAAATTAAAAAAAAAAGAACAAGCTTTGATATTGAACCCAGCAGAGAAGAAAATAAAAGGGGCAATTAACTTATTGCAAGGGCAATTTAATATGCTAATGGAAGATCAAGTCGCAACTAATTTGCAATATGCTAAACATAATACTTTTTGCAATGCTAATAAACCAAGGAGATGGTTAGCATATTTGTTAAGGAAAAAACAAAAGTCATGGATCGTAGAGAAAATAGAATATAAAGGTAAAGAGGTTTATCAGCAAAATATGATTAAAAAAGCATTTTTAGAATTTTATACAAGGTTGTATGCTAGTGATAAAATTCAAAGTATAGATGTAGATAGATATTTACAGAAAGAGAATATTCCTATAATTACAAGAGAGCAAAGGGAGGGTTTAAATCAACCAATAACTTCCAAAGAGATTATGTTTGCAATTAAGCAGTTGAAAGTGGGTAAAGCCCCCGGGACGGATGGTTTGACAGCTGCTTATTATAAACACTTGCAGTTAGAAATGGTGGGACCACTCAAAGAGTGGTCCAACATACAATCTGGAGGAGATGTACCCCCATCCTGGAGGACAGCTTTTATTTCTCTGATTCCAAAGGAGGAGCAAGACCATACTCAGCCAAAAAATTATAGGCCTATATCACTTTTAAATACAGATTATAAGATTTTTGCTAAAATACTAGCAAATAGGTTAATGACAGTCATGCAACAAATGATTCATAATGATCAAACTGGTTTTATAAATGGTAGACAAATGAAGAGTAATGTAAGGCAAGTTGTTAACCTATTGGAGTATTTGGGAAGAACAATCAAATCCCTGCGGTGCTGATATTTCTTGATGCAGAGAAAGCATTTGATCGACTGAATTGGCAATTCTTATTGAAAATAATAGAAAAGATGCAGTTTGGAGAATATTTTACACAATCTATTAAGGCAATATATCAGAAACAAACAGCGCAAATAATAATTAATGGTAGTTTAACAGATACTTTTAATACAGAAAAAGGAACAAGACAAGGATGTCCCTTGTCCCTTGTCTCCATTATTGTTCATTTTGACTTTGGAATTTTTGTTGAGTAAGATCCGTGGGTCGGACAAAATAAATGGAATTAAAATTAGGCAGTATAATTACAGAGTACAAGCATTCGCAGACGATTTGGTTGTTACTTTAATCCAACCATTACAGTAAGTTGTAGGTTTAATGGATATAATTAAGCAATATGGGGAAGTATCTGGATTTAAAATAAATGCAGGGAAAACGAAGATAATAACTAAAAACATGACTACAAATCAAAAAGATGAATTAGAAAGATTACCAGGATTTGAAATAGTAAAAAAAGTTAAGTATTTGGGGGTTTATATTATGACATCAAATGCGAAATTGTTCACGCATAACTATGATCTGTTGTGGCAAAAAATACAGAGAGAGATGGAAAATTGGAAAAAATTACAATTATCCTTGTTAGGAAGAATAGCAGCAGTAAAAATAAATGTTTTGCCTAAGTTTTTGTTTCTTTTTCAAATGATACCAATACTTTAAAAAGATGAAAATTTGAAGATATGGCAGAAGGGTATTAATAATTTTGACTGGGCAGGGAAGAGACCGAGAATAAAACAAAAAATAATGCAGGATATATGTGAAAGAGGAGGTCTCAAAATGCCCAAATTAAGACTATATTATGAGGCAGCTGCCCTATCAGCAATGAGTGATTGGATGAACTCAACAGAAGAAAGAATATTGAATATTGAGGGATATGATTTTGTTTACGGGTGGCATGCTTATTTATTATATGATAAGAAAGTGGATAAGACTTTTAAAAGTCATATATTAAGGAATGCTTTATTGCGTGTCTGGAAAAAGTATAAGTATAAATTAAACGAGAAGTTACCAATGTGGGCAATACCCAGACACGCTATAGAGAATATAAGTGTAGAGCAAAAACAAGATGTGATTACATACAAAGAGCTTCTTAACAAGGAAAAAGGTATACTACAATTAAAATCTTTGAATCAACTAAGAGAAGAAAGGATAATTCAAACATGGTTTCAATATGTACAGTTGCAAGCTAGATGGAGAGAAGATCAGAAAATTGGTATTTTGCAAAATGAGGAGAACTTGGTAAAACAGATTAGAGATCAAAGTCAAATGCATATAAAAAGGTTGTATAATGCATTGGTAGAAATAGATTCAGAAACGGAGTTAGTTAAGGACTGTATGATAAAGTGGGCACAAAATATTGAAGAACCAATAATGATGGAAACGTGGGAAAAAATATGGGTTAGAAATGTGAAGTTTATGCAAGCCCAAAACTTAAGAGAGAATTTTTATAAAATGTTTTATAGATGGCATCTGGATCCTAAAAAGCTAGCCTGTATGTATCCAAGCGTGCAACCTAAGTGTTAGAGATGTGAATGGGATGATGCCACATATTATCATATATGGTGGACATGTAAAAAAATTAAGGCATTTTGGATAAAAATATGGTGGATTATTCAAAATATTCTCAAAAAGAAGATAAAATTTACTCCACAGTTCTTTTTGTTAGGTATAATTACAGATTGTACTGTTATAAAGACTAAGTTGATTTTAAATTTAATAACAGCAGCCAGACTTTTGGTGGCACAGTATTGGAAGAAGGAAGACTTGCCTACTATTGAAGAATGGACACTAAAAGTAGTGAATTTAGCAGAGATGGCAAAAATTTCAGCGTATTTGAAAGACTATTCACAAGAAAGATATATATCGGAATGGAGAAGATGGATTGACTATATTCAAAACAAATATCAGACTAAAAAGCTTCAAATAGCTTATGAATGAAACCAACTTTTTATTTTTGAATTATGTTTTGTTAGTTGAAAGAGGAGTTAAAGAGCAAGAGGGAATTAAAAGCCTACAGAAAGTTAGCATATTTTATGTTTATGTTTGTCAAATGTTATACCCTGTATTTGCTCTGGGAAGTCCGAGATGCGGGGAGGGGGGTTGGAGGGAGAGGGGGGATGGGGGGTGGGGGGTGGGGGGAGGAGGGAAGGGGGAGAGGAGGGATGGGGAAAAATTGTTGTAATATTTGATAAAACTTTTTAATAAAAAAAAATAAAAAAAATAAAGAGTCTATGGGTACTAATTTTGCAGCGGAGAAAATGGTCGCACAATTTCTCCTTCTGATCATATAAAACTGCATTTTCTTCCTATGATGTCTTAAATTTAAGCCCTTAAAAATTGGAGGGAAGGGATATATAGCAAAAGAGTGATTAAGCCTTTGCTTTTAGAGAATTACAAATCATTCTGATAAATTTGAAATAATTTTTTGGAATTAATTATAAGAATTTTTCCCATGGGAAAATGCCATTGTTTTGAATTCATCTTTAAAAAAAGACTTTAAAAATTGGATACTAGAAGCAATTAGAAGAAACTACATAGTCAGATTGTCTTTAAAAAATATTATGGAAGAGGAACCAATTTTATTTGACAATAGTGAGACTGACTTGAAAGTGGATTTAAATATGACAGGCTACAAGAATGACACAGAAGAAGGTATTGCACTGGACATACAAAAGGCTGGTGACCTAATAATTAAAAGAGTTATGCAAATAACGAACCAAGAGAATGACTTGGATTACTTTCCTATATTGGATTTATAAAGGGTTCTTGATGTAAGAATTTTATGAAAAGGGAGAAATGAAAAAAATGGAAAGAAATCAGGTTCTATTGTAGGAATTATTTGAAGGGATTAAAGATCAAGATTGTTAGAAGTAAAAAGAAAGAATATAAAGATAGCTTATTTGATCAAGGTTAAAATAAATATGTTGTTATCTCTGGTAACCCTTAATGGACTTTTAATGACATCTGGATTGAAATGACATAGCTTTAAGGATTTATTTATAGATACGAGATGAGATATGGAAAAAAGGTAGGATTTGTTGTATCTTAAGAGAAGGTAATAAGTTATTAAAATTGTGCATACTTTTGATGAAGAGAGAAGTCATATATTTCTGCTTTTATTATTATATTTTTATTCTTTTATTTTCAGAAAGTGTCTACTTTCTATTTTTTCTTTTTCTTTTTTTTACTTTGTTAGTTTTTATTGTTGCAATGATAATTTTTAATAAAATTACTATAAAAAAAGAAAAAAGCAAAATTACCTATGGAAACAATTAGCAGTAGATATTATAAAATGTGGTCAGTAAACGTAGTGCTATACTGTTCTAAATTACTAATAAGTGAAACAGTATCAGGTTATAGGTATGTAGCTTAAATATAAATTTTAACTCTAGTTAGACCAAGTATGGCAGATATATAAATGTTTGTTTGATTTCATAATATCTTCATAATTTTTTCAGGGCACTGAAAATTAACATGGCTCTAAGGAGGCTTACTTGGGGATCGGTGAAGACATATTCCATTCACCTTGATAGACCAAGCCTCCACCACAGCTAACCCAGCTCTCTTCTATATCAGTTTATGACTAATTTTATGAGAAGAGTCCTCCACTCCTCTACCCGCAATAACATACCTTATGCCACCAGACTTCAAATTTTGGGCTTAGACAACTTAGAACTACGCTGACTTCGGTCTGACCTAAGTGTAGTACATAAAATTATCTGCCACAATGTCCTACCTGTCAATGACTACTTCAGCTTCAACCACAACAATACACAAGCAAAAAATAGATACAAACTCAAGGTAAACCGCTCCAAACTTGATTGCAGAAAATATGACTTCAATAACAGAGTGGTCAATGCCTGGAATACACTACCTGACTCTGTGGTTTCTTCCCCAAACTTTAACCTTAAACTGTCTAAACTCACCCCATTCCTAAGAGGTCTGTAAGAGGCGTGCATAAGTGCACCAGTGTGCCTACCGTCCCTGTCCTAATATTCCTTTTTACTTACTCTTTTCATGTATTCAAGTTATGTTTATACTTTTACCTGTTATTTTATATATGCTTGATAAATAAATAAATAAATAAATAAATAAATAAATAAATAAATAAATAAATAAAGTTGGTGTGGGGCTAGAAAAATAAATGCATATAAGCTAGAACATTTTTAATCAGTTATCTCTATGCTTTTATAAAGAGAACACAGATCGTAGTTGTTATAATTATAAAGCAGACCTGATTAAAATATTGCCAATGTTAATAATTCACCTTTAATATATGTTTGGAGAGCTTTATTTGAAAACTTAGACTGAAATGGGTGGTGCCTAAATTTGATAAATAAAAATCCTTCCTACTACATGATACCTTATTTTTTATGTAATATTATATATAAAGTTCTTTTACATAGTCTCTTTTCATTAAGCTAATTAGAACAAAGGAAAAGCAAGAACAAAAAATGAATGAAAGAGTTGGAAAGTATCCAGTTAAATACTGAAAGTTGATAACACATCAGTTCTCTTCTAACCCACAAACAGGAAGTTAATTTGTAATATGCTAATTAGGCTGAGAGTAATCACTTTGTGATTTTAAATTAGATTAAGAAAATGTGTACATATGAAAAAAACTAGATGAATTCTTGTTTGGTGGCTTGGGAACTGAAACAAATACACCCTTCAAATATGTCTTTATAATTAAATAGCTTCTTTTTTGTGCTAAAAAAGGTAATTTATCTATGTATTTTAGTTATCCTACACTGTATCTTTGTCACTCTAACAACCATTTTTCTGACTGCTAGTTTAATATTCTTACGTTATATTTCAGGTTTTCAAATCCTGGATCATGAAGATCAAATTGCTTTGTTGAAAGGTTCAGCAGTAGAAGCTATGTTCCTTAGATCAGCTGAAATCTTTAACAGGAAACTTCCTAGAGGACATGTTGATCTCTTAGAAGAAAGAATCCGCAACAGTGGTAGGTGTCCTTAATTAACAGCAAAAGAAACTGTTCTTTGGAAAGTTTAGCAAAAAATCAGTCATTTTGTGAATGTCAAACTTCTCAAGCATTCAGTAGGAATCAGCCTGGAGTTCAAGACTATCAAGGAATTATAATTGTATTATAAAAACACAAATACTGAAAATAAATTTGTTCTATTATAATATTTGGGGATATGTAAAAGATCAAATAATGGATATGTCATTTCTCATTAAGCTCAGTAAAATAATCTCACCCATCCAAATGAATGGCAATGTTAAAACAAGTATAGATTGAGTGGAAAAACTGATATTAGTTCATCTAAAATATATTTGGTCATGACTGATGTGTATGATACTCACTATATGTGTTGTGACCTAGGCTCACTTAGTCATTACAGGACACAATTAATCTCAAACAAAAGTATTTTATTATAACAGCTAAGAATTACTTCATTCCCAGCTTAGTCCAAATTAATTCTAAAACAATCCTTCAGAAAAAGTCCTTCGGCTTATCACAAACCTTTATCTTCTTTGGCACCCTGCCAAAGACCTTTCTTGGCAAAGCCCCACGAAGTTCAGAAACAACAGATGCTGTTGTTTCTGAACTTTAGTTCAGGGATACTATTTACCTTTACTACCAGTTTGCAGTGGGGCCACATGCGCACACGCTTCTGCGCAAGCGTAGAAGCTTCTACGCATGCACAGAAGAGTTTTGATGATGTCGGGGTTCGTGGGTGGAGCCTCCCGCCGGTTTTACTACCAGTTCTATAGAACCGGTGCAAACCAGGGGCAACCCACCACTGATGCCGACTGGAAAACAGATTTAGCAATGTTGCTTTCCTACAAAGAGCCCAAGAGCCTTTGCTGCTCTTTTAAACCTTATGGGAGGGGCCAATCATCTCCTGGCCTTACTCCCGAGTCGTCCTGTTTGCTTTAGCTGCTCTTGCCTTCTGGCAGCTCTGCGCATGTGTGCACTAGGAACAGGCTCCTCCTGTTTCTCTGCCTCTCTGTTATCTGACTCTGGACGCTCTGGAGTCCGTGCATCACTCCCAGATGGCCCTGGCCCCATCTCTGCCTCCGATACAGAGCCCTCATCCGGGCCTTCCTCAGACTCCAGGACTGGCCCATGGTCCTTCCCAGCCTCCTCACTGTCCAACTCCACTGCTAGCTCCGCGGGCTGCTGGCGGACCATAACAATATGGTTGGTCTCACAAGATATGCTTGGTTACCATTACTACTACTTTTACAGCACCTTTCTGTCAGTGGTGGGTTTCAAAAATTTTTACTACCAGTTCTGTGGGTGTGGCTTGGTGGGTGTGGCTTGGTGGGCATGGCAGGGGAAGGATACTGTAAAATCTCCATTCCCACCCCACTCCAGGGGAAGGATACTGTAAAATTTCCATTCCCTTCCCCACTCCAGGGGAGGGTTACTGCAAAATCCCCATTTCCTTGCAATCAGCTGAGACTCGGGAGGCAGAGAATAGATGGGGACGGGGTCAGTCAGAGGTGGTATTTACCGGTTCTCCGAAGTACTCAAAATTTCCACTACTGGTTCTCCAGAACTAGTCAGAACCTGCTGAAACCTACCTCTGCTTTCTGTATACAAAATGTGTTATCATTTAAATACAGTTATAGTATACATAAGTATGTCAGCCATTATAAGTTTTTATCATTTGAACCATTGTCTATGCTCTGGATTTCATATTTGGAAAGTACATGTTTGAGAAACAAAATGAACAATTGCAGAGGGAGATAAGAAGGGAAAATTCTTGCTGCTTTTTTCAAAGATGATCTAGGCATGAATGGGGGTTATAAGATAAACATCTAGGAGTTAGGTTGCAATTTTATACCCATTTATATGGGAACAGGTTCTATTACTGCTTAGTATTTCTGACTCTAAGATATAAATCTGTGCTACTCTGTTAGCAACTATAGTATTAGAATTAAATTAGAATTAATAGAACATAGGCAGTGGTGGGATTCAACTAATTTAACAACCGGTTCTCTGCTCTAATGATTTCTTCCAACAACAAGTTCACCAAACTGCTCAGGAATTTAACAACCGGTTCTCCCGAAGTGGTGCGAACTGGCTGAATCCCACCACTGAACATAGGGCATTTTACTATCAGATGGTTTTAGTAGTATTCGTTTTCTGTGTTAATGTGTTATAGATCTCGTTCTTAATATTTTCTTGAAGACAGGTCGTTGAAATTCTCTTAAGAATTATAGCTAAGGGTTGAGGGGTTTTAATATGTAGTTGCACATTCTAATGAATGCATACTATACATCTTAAATAAATGTATTTAAGATGTCTAACGAATACAAACTGCTGCTGACAGAAAAACAAAATCTTGAGGATTATTTCTGTGGCTTTTGTTGAGATGATTTTTATGTGAAAGTGAACGTCAAGTTGTCAGATAGCTCCTATTGTCCACATATGTGAAATGCAGCAACAAAAGCTGAAAATATAAATATGCCAGTAGATGTTCATATTTTGGTCACCTGCCACAAGGTTGATTCCCAGGCTTCTGAATTCCCTTAACAGTTATCAGCTTTCCCCTTCATAGACAGACGGGCATTTTGAATTTCTATGTGACAAGGAAGCTTAGTGGTGACCTTTCTTACCTAGCATCCTTCTGTTAAGCCAGTACTCTGTGGATAATGGTGGTGACAGTGGCGGCAGTAAGACTAACAGCCAAATAACTTGTGAGATGGAACACTATCTTACAAATAGTCCTGACTTCTTCTACATAAATATTAGATTAAAAAATGTTTCTATCTAGTAGCAACACTCTCACCTGCTTTTGTTCAGTACCAATAGTTCCTCTTTATTTCATGGACTTATTATTTCAATAGCCTATAGCTATTGATCAGTTTTCATTAACGTTCACAAAACTCAAGCTAACTCATGGGGATGGGCAAAAAAAAGATGTAACATTAGTAAATGCATTTTAAATGACTTCTTTGGTAACTCTGAATACTCATTTATAATCATGCATTTTAGTTGCAAAGAATGTCCAACACAGTTTGGTGCATTTGGTTTTAAAATCAAAGCAAATGTGATGTTTGAAAACCATAATTTGGCAGTGAAATTGTATTTATTGGATTTTGTCCTGGTTTACACTTGCAAACTCTTTCAAGGCAGTTTGCAAGATTTCAATACATAAACAGCAATATTAAAATCTATTCCATAAAATTTCAAAAGCCCATACAGGTCATAAAAAACATTTTAAAAAAGGATTAATTATTTGGATTTGGAAAAATCTGGACAGCTACAACTAATGCAAAGAAAAGCCAGGTGGAAAACCCCAAGGTGGGAATTAACAAGATTTTTTTAAAAAAAACAAACAGATGAAAAACAATCAGTTCAGAAAATACTGTGACCTACTCATTGTTTTTTAATTTTCCCAACAGAATCACATACTTTCTTGAATCACATACTAGACAGGCATATATTGGTAGCAATGGACAGTTTCTTGATACAATAAGTGAAAGCTTTCAGAAAAGCTGAAATAAGCCTCTAATGAAAGATTTGGAATTAAGAAAATACTTTGAATAGATAAGATACTGTGAATGAGGTAAAACAGTATGAGTAATTAATATGTGTTTACTTCTCAGTAACACAAGAACTAATTTACATTTTGATTTAATATCTACTGGCAGCTTCAAGCCTATCCAGATGAAAGATCTCTTCATCCATATTAACAGCTGTCGTAGTTATAATTAATTAGCTCCAAACCACCTTCCTCAGAGCTGTTTTTCTTCTTTTAATTTAAACATCTAGCTATAATAAATACATAAACTGAATGCTTACTGCTGAACAATGCTTATTGCTGAAATTAAAATAGGATGTACAATAAAGAACACAAGTCTGAAAACAGACATAAATTTTGAATTATACCAGTAACCAAATACAAATTGAATCTACCATTCAGCTAAACAATGAAGCTGCTAAAATAATATCAGAATAGTTTTCAGAAATTGTGTTTTACTTGGTTCATAGTAAAAAATTTCCCATATGGAAAAACACAAGTCATTTCAAGAATGGAAACTCCCTCTAGATGGAAGTTTTACCTGAAAAGAAAATCAAAATCATTAAAAATAATAATAATAAACACAGAAAGAATATTGAGTCCTCAACTTATGACTATTTCTTCAGCAATTATTCAAAGTTATAACGCTCTGAATGGACTTACGACCTGTGCCTGAAGTTACCGCTGTTCCTGCACCCCATAATCATTTTCTCAAAATTCAGGTGCTTCACAACTCCTGCTCAGAGTATGTTGCAGAAGTCACCAAAAGGCCTTCCTTTTGTGGGGTAGCTGTGCCCTTTCTTTGATCGGAAGGCCCTTTAGATCTGATGTCCTACTCACCTCACAGCTGCTCTACAGGGGGCCTTTAAAAATATCTCAGAAACTTCAACTGGTGATGAGCATGCTTTGATATGCTCATGTGATGTCTCTACTCATGAGCTACACTGGTTTGTAATATGCTCTCGGCAGTGGTGGGATTCAGCCAATTCACACCACTTCGGGAGAACCGGTTGTTAACTTTCTGAGCAGTTTTGTGAACTGGTTGTTGGAAGAAATAATTAGGGCAGAGAACCAGTTATTAAATTATTTGAATCCCATCACTGGCTCTCAGGTATGAGTTACGAATAAAGTCCTTTATCACGAATAAAGTCCTATCTAAAATAGGTCTAGATCAGTGATGATCATTTTGGTGCCGAGTGCCCAAGATGTGCGTATGTGTGTGTGCAAATGGACACGTGTGTCCCTGAACCCAGGGGTGGGTTTCAAAACCTGTTGCTACCGGTTCGTGTGTGGGTGTGTGAGTGCTTGCATGCAACGCTTCTGCGCATGCACAGAAGGGTCCGGGCAAATGGGCAGAGCCTCCTGCTGCCGCCGCTACCAGGTCGCTCAATCCGGGGCAAACCGGTAGCAACCCACCACTGCCTGAACCCCCCAAATGCAATACAAGTACCCGCCACGCATGTGTGCATGGCCCCCGTTTTAGCTTCCAGGTTGGTGCAGGAGGCTTTCCAGGCTCAAAACAGGGCGCGGGCAGCTTGTTTTGGACCTGGAAAGCCTCCTGCACCAATCTGCACCCCCCATGCATGTGCCTCGAACCCCCATGCATGCGCACATGCATCCCCTGCATGCACCCCGCACATGTGCAGCAGAGACCCAAAGACCAGCTGGCTGGTGAGGGCGCATGCACATGCACGATAGAACTGGGCTGGGGTGACGGCTGGCATGCCCGCAGAAACAGCTCTGCATGCCACCTGTGGAACATGTGCCATAGGTTCACCATAGATTATTTGTGAGATTGCCTATCTCCCTTGGTTTCTACCCAGCTAGTATAAGCCAGCAGAGCTGGTGACTCAGAATTCATTTATTTAAACAGCACCATCTATTGTGATTTTTCTCTGTCATCATGCCTGTCTTCTGGAACAACATTTCTCCTTGAAATATTTATGGCACTCATTATGTTCCATAAGTCCTTGAAGATCTGGCTGTTCTCCCAGGCCTTGGGATAAGGTGGATGGAGTCACTTGCTGAATGTATTTTTGTCTACCTTTTTCTACTGAATAACTGGATCCCAACTTGCTTACTTGGTTTGCATTTTGTTTTTATTGTTTACTATATTGTGAATCACTCGGTATCAGTTAGGAATCAGTTAGAATGTCTAAATTGAATAATAAAATATTACAGAGGAGATATTCCTCTCTGCAATAATGGCTGTGTTCACATTTTACACTTCTGTAAATTGGAATGATTTGTTTGGTTTTAGCATAGCCTGTCTAAACCCAACTGCCATATTTTTAAACCATGTTTTAATATTTACCACATTATGTTAAACCCAGCCAATTATAGTTTATTAATAAACTATGTTTAGCCAAACTGTGGCTTTGTGTAATATGAATCCAATCACCATTAATAATGTAGAAACTAATCTACTTGGAATACAATTATCACTTGATTCACATATATTTTGTACAGTATTGCAGACTAATTCTCTTGACTGCCGACTGCCAGCAGTTCTGCAGTTTGATTCTTACCGGCTCAAGGTTGACTCAGCCTTCCATCCTGCTGAGGTTGGTAAAATGAGGACCCAGATTGTTGGGGGCAATATGCTGACTCTGTAAACCGCTTAGAGAGGGTTGTAAAGCACTGTGAAGTTGTATATAATTCTAAGTGCTATTGCTATCATTATATATTTACTTAAGAAGTGGAAACTCCTTCATCTTGAAGTTAGCTATTGCTATTGCTCCAACACGTTCCTTGAGATCTCATTCACATCTGTCTTCTCTAATTGCCACAGCATGAAATGTTTCCAGTCTATTTAGTACTTTGTTATTTATTATTTTCATAAACACCCTTTTTTAGTGGGAAAGCAGCTATTCCTCATAATAAAATAGTGAAATATACCTATAGCATATTATGAGCTGATTTCCATGACCATAGAATGGTTATTTAAAGTATCACCAAAAAGTGCCTCTTAGATAGGAAACCTATATTTGATCTTGGTCAAAAGTTCAAGAAATTTTCATAGACTATTGTTGATTTTTTTCTAACCAATGAGAAAAATATTCTAGGCTTTGTTTTACTATGCTATTTCAATTTATTATTGTATGGGTAAAGATATAATAGATATAGATAAACCTCCCTAAAATTTCACATATTGAAATGAATTTAAGATAGTTATGTAGCAGGAAAATATTATGCAATCCATAGATCTCAAGAGTGATTCAACATCCAGTTAAACCTGTACATCTAGATTTGAGCCCAATTTCCCATACTGTTTCCTGGGAATTTCATATGAAACGTTTCTCTACTACCTGTATGGTTCTTGGAAATTAAGGAGCGCAATAGTAGGATACTTATGTATACACTACAAAACAAGATTCAGCTCCCGAAAATATATTTAAGATATTGCGACAACAAAAACAAAAACCCTATTGTGCTACTTCTGTCCTATTGAATAGGTCACTATAGATAAGCCATTTCAACTGTATTCAAATTAAACATGTTCTAATCAACTCTTCAAACAGATCAACAGTAGGGAGTTTCCATGTGTGGTTGACCTAAAACTCCCAGTAACCCTGATCAGCATGGTCTACTCTATGGCAAAGGATATTGGGAGCTAACATTCTGCAACAGGGATGTAGTTTCCCCATTTCTGATTAATAGAAGAATGTAGACAGTATAATGATATTGTGACAGCAAATAATATTAATAATGTGCTGCATTTATCTATTTTAGTGTTTGAGTTCCGTTAAAGGCATATAGAATTTTTAAACTGATATTTATGAGATTTGCAGAATTTGTGCTAGAGTTTATGTTATTACAGGAAAATAGCGCCCTCTTGTGAATAAAATAGCATATAGCCATCCTATAATGAAACCATAAAAAACAAAAATAAAAACAAAGGGAAATAAACCTGATATGGAATTAGAGAGGAAGGGTTTTTTTTTTAAAGTAAAAGAATTTTCATACGGTACTTTCTATCTTTGTTCTTGCATAATTTGGGTGTTGAATTGTCTGAATTTTAATTACCAGGGATTGCATCATAATTCTATTATAAGTCTACTTTCCCCCATTGCCTTATAGGTATCTCAGATGAATACATAACGCCTATGTTCCATTTCTATAAAAGTATTGGGGAACTCAAGATGACACAAGAAGAATATGCTCTGCTTACAGCAATTGTTATCTTATCACCAGGTAATTAATTTTCTCAGTTGTTTTAGAACAGTGTCTTTTAAACTTGTTCAGGCCACAGATCCCTAGGGTGCATCGGTTTGAAAAACCATATTCCAGACAATCAATTCTGAATTATGTTACCAAATTTTAAGAAAAAAGGAAAGAGGCAGAGAATGCTAATTTCTTATACAAAAACAGTAACTATTATTAAAGTATGTTGGGCAAATATTTCTAGAGTGAGTGCCTATCTGTTGTCTATGTGTGCGCTTTGCCTCACTCCACGTGTACATGTATGGGCATGGGAAATAGAGTCCAAATGCTCTCTCCTCTTCTGTTCATGCAATGAAGACGGTCTTAGAATGGAGCACTCAGCAGTATTCCTAGCTGCTACTCAAGGCCTCCTTCAGGGATGCACCAGGCCCCTTTTGAAGCCCGATCCACCCCTGCCCAGATCTGACCCATTTTTAAATTCAATCTTTCACCAGCTTCCCTCCTCATACCAAATGTAATCCAAATGTATACTTTTGTGAATGAGATTTCCTTCTAGCATTTTACTAGAACAGGGGTGTCAAACTTGATTTCACTGACAGCCCCGGCTACATCAGGGTTGTATTTGACCTCGGGGAGGTGGGGGACATGGCCAGAGGCGTGGCCACGGGGCATGGCCAGCTTGACGTAACTCATGTCGGAGGGTACCTGTGATGGCCAGGCAGCTCTGCCAGTGAAAACGGGCTCCCGATCTCCATTTTCACTGACAGAGGGTTGCAGGAGGCCGTCCCAGCCAAAAATGGAGATCAGGAGCCTGTTTTCACTGGCAGAGGCACCATGGGCCGGTCCTTCACTATCTCCAGGCCGGCTCCATGGGCCAGATCTAAGCACCTCACGGGCCGGATCTGGTCTGCGGGCCTTGAGTTTGACACCCCTGTACTAGAAGGAATGCATTGGAAAGAAACCTGTAAAATTCTACTCTTTGTAAGATTACAAATGTTCACATGCAATTGTTTAATCATAGACATTTCTGCATTAAATGTTTCAAGTAACCTGTTTTACATTCAAAAGACATGACAAACTACATGTTACGTTAGACTGCATCCTCCAGGGTTGGTATTTGGAGTTCTAGTGCAGGTAGAAGACTCAACCCTTTGCCTCCATACTAGGGAGCTATCTAAGCATTTATTTTTCCCTGGAATGGACAGTTATGGCCAAATATTTCAAACACGTAGATATATTTGTAAAAGTGAGTACAAATTTATGATTACTAGCAGCATAAAATGAAAGGGTCCTAGCTAAAAGAAATCTATGAGTTTAGTGGCATTTGTGTTACAGGTAGTCTTCGACTTAGAACCATTTGTTTAGTGACCATTCAAAACCACCACTGAAAAAAGTGACTTATGACTGCTGCAGCATCCCCATGGTCATGTGATCAAAATTCAGTTGGCAACTAGCATGTATTTAGAAATACGTATAAAACGGATGGCAGAAAAAGACCTAGTGGCCCATGAAGCCTGGCCTTTGGGGGGGGGGTTGTTTTCTTATTTATTAATTTTATCACAAGCATGTTTAAACTCAGTTACTGATGATAGACCCTCTACTCCACTGGAAGTTGTTTTCAAGCTTCCACTACTTTTTCTGCAAAGTAATACTTTCTCACATTACTTTTGAACTCCCCTCCTGTCAGTTTGAGGTTATGCCCCATGTTCTTGATTTTTCCTTAATATTGAAAATACTGCCTTCTAGAACTTTATTCACACCCTTAATATATTTAAAAGTTTCAATAATGCCCCCACTTTCCCTTCTGTTCTTGAGGCTGTACATAATCAGTTCCTCCAATCTATCCTGATATGTTTTGTTTCTCAGACTTTGCACGATTTTTATTGCCCATCTCTGAACTTACTCAATCTTATCAATATGTTCTTTTAAGTGAGGTCTCCAAAATTGGACACAGTATTCCAAATGGGGTCTGACTAAAGCCCTGTATAGTGGGATTAGGAGCTCCTTTTTCCTGCTGGTGATCCCTCTAGTGATGCATCCCAGAATTTTGTTTGTCAAAATAGCTGCCTGGCCACACTATTTGCTCATTTTGCAGTTGTCTGCTATGAGCACACCCAAAGCTTTTCCTTCTATTGTTCTAACACTGACTGTACCCCCAATACTGTACTCTACCAGAGGATTTCTTTTCCCCTAAGTGTATGATCCCTAAGTATGATGCTTGCAGTATCCCTTTTGTGACCTTTTGACAGCAAAGTCAATGGGGAAGCCAAATTCACTTAACAACGGTGTTACTAACTTAATAACTGCAGTAATTTACTTAACAGTTGTGGCAACAACTGTGACAAGAAGGTCATAAAATGAGACAAAATTCAATTTAACAACTGTCTTACTTAGAAACAGAAATTTTGGGCTCAATTGTTGTCATAAGTCAAAGACTACCTGTTTTTTCTCCGTTCCTAAAAATGGCCAACCTGACCCATCTCCAAAGGCAGAAACCAAGAAAATAGAAATAGGATTTGAAAGGGGGAAAAAAAATCATTCTCTGATTTTTGTAGGCACGGGATAGTTTTTTATATTAAAATCTTATAGAGATAAAATTGTAACTTTGTTCCTTGAAGGAAGAATATAACAAAACCAATTAAGACACATGCTCATATTTATTTTTTTATTTTGTCTATTGCTACCATTGTTAAGATTATGGGCAAGAAGCAAAAGTAGAAAAATACTACTACTAAGAACAAAATATGAAGCAATATTTAACACAATACTGTGAGCCAAAGGCCTATGAGAATAAAAGTTTTGAGTGCCTTTCTAAGGGGAAAGAAGCAGCTCTACTGCAGGCAAAGTATTCCAGAGTTGTTATGCTATATTTGCATAACAGAGATAAATATTTTAGCAATAATAGGGTTTTGAATTATTTCTATTATCTCAGGATCAGGGCGTGCAACCTTCTCTATAACAATCTGTAGTATCAAGCAAACTAATAAGTAAAACTAATCCCAACAACACTGCAAGTTTTTATAGACACGCAATTCTGCGTGGGAACAAAATAGCCTATGAACAGAGAAATGTTGTATTTCACTTGCAATTTGACTTTGGTCTTCATAATTTACATATATGAAATAGTGCTTACTATTTTTCCCCATCTTCTTTGAAAACTAAAACCAGATCGGCAATACATAAAGGATAGAGACTCTGTTGAACGGCTTCAAGAGCCTCTGCTTGAAGTTCTGCAAACATTCTGCAAGCTTCATCACATGGATAGTCCTCAACATTTTGCTTGTCTTCTTGGTCGCCTTACAGAATTACGGACTTTTAACCACCATCATGCTGATATGTTGATGTCATGGAGAGTTAACAATCACAAATTCACACCTCTTCTTTGCGAAATATGGGATGTGCAGTGATAAGCCTGGTTTTTACTGGATCATAAACTAACTTAGCTGGGACAACAAACTTGAATCCATAACATCAGTGTATTCATTCAGTGTTTTTGAATTGTAAATATTTTCTTAAAGCACTTAAAATAATTGATAGTAAATCATTTTCACTGAAGTTTACATTTGTGTCTGTTTACATAGAATATCTGCTATAGTTCTTAAGTTCCTTGAAACAAAAGTGAACTATTTGCCTGAAGCAAGTTCCTGTTATTTCTTTTGAAATTAAAGTAGTATATTACAATTTCTTGTTTTTATTTTCATCTTTGTTCTTTATAAACCACTACTTATCAGTTGATAAATTGATAAGTCCTAAACTATTGAAAACTATACCTGCATAAAACACACTATCTATTCTGCTATAGATACAACATTGGCAAATGCTGCTGTCCTTATTTACAAGATGTATTAAAGACAAACGTGTGGGTTCCCTCCTTTCTTACCCAATATCACCATCTCATGGGAAAACTATGCACAAATCATTCTCCTTAATGTGGATCAAGGCTGGGAAGGATGTTTAGACAGCTAGGGTCAGCCATCTTTCAAATCTTTGTTCCAATTTTTATTCCAGCATTCAGAAGTCGTCTGGTAGGGTAATTTTGAACACTGATTGAGCTGATTTAATATATTTATTCTGCTTACATTACCTGTTATATAGGGGTTCAGCATTATCTTACTATCTTACTAGAGAAAACGAAGGAGCAAGTGCTCCATACCTATGTTTGTGATTTTTATATGTGGGATAAATCAAATGAGTAAATAAGGACCATCTCTCTGAAGAAGAGGCTCAGACCTATCCACCATTCCATAAAAAATACAGAATCCATTTATGTTTCATTTTTCGTACTAACCTGTGCTATACTGTGCCAATTATGGCTTATTAAACATGGCTTTAAAACCAAATTCCTAAACAAGCACTGCCATATCTGGGCTATGCAAATCTAGACAAACATCAGCAAAGAGATGCAGAAAGCTCCAAGGTCCAATTTTGCAGCCCCCTTCTTGTATGTCCTATTAAACCAAACTAATAACACTATTTACTAAATGGAAGACAGCACCAAATTTAACCTGATCCCAAAATGAATATGTGGCAAAAAATTAACACAGACAACTCAAATGGTGCCCAACTTCTCGACCTTGTTAATTTAGGTCTACCAACTCTAAGTGAAGCCAGTCTCCCACCCATAAATATTCTGCTTTGAGACTCACTTACGTATTCATATGTGTATGCATACATACATGTGTACATCTTTCACAAGCCAAACTCCAAAGCATGGAAAGGTCTGGACAAATAACTACTTTCATTTTAACTGAATTAATGTAAATTGACTCAAATAAATTCCTTAAGAGGAATCTCATTGCTAAACTTAATGGACCTTCCTTCTCCATCTGCAGAAGCTAATCATTTCCTACACAGAAAAGAACCACACATTACCTTCCCTGGTTTCAAAGGAGCAAAGAAATAGAATGGATGTGAATTAAGGAGAAGAAATAGCTGCATGGAGAATGACAGAAAAGGGGGAAACGACATAGAGATAAGGGGAGGAAAGCAGGTAATTTGGCAGGGAAATAGAAGAAAAACACTATGGAAATATTAGAAAAAAGGTTTAAATCTTTCCCAAGTACCGGCAAATTTCAAAGGCATCCATGCTGTTCATCAGTAAGACATGTATGTGCAGGAAATTATATATCCTGATTATTTTAAATGATTCTCTTTATCACTAATCTTTTCCTTCGCCTGGGTAAAAATAAACTTGTTTTTCTCCTCCTATATAAAGTAACTCAATACCTACATAACACAATGTGTGTACTGAGGATGGTTAGCATCAGTGTTGAAAAATATTTTTTTCTGGTTCATAACAGTGGCCAAGCTGGTCCACATGCCATGTTGCTTGCTTATGCTTTTCAACCAACCCACAATGGGACAGATTTAGAGAACCTGCAGACTAGGGCTGAGACACTACAATGACTTTTCCCCACTATATGTTAAATTAAATCCTGTGGTGGGTTAGCTTTACCAGAGCAGAGGTCATGGAATTGTTTGGTTTCAGCCCCAAAGATTTTTTTTAAAGCAACTTTATTAAGTTTAAAAAGACAAAATACAAATTAACAAAAACAAAAAAAAAAGATTAAAAGAAACGTGGAGGGAATCAAGGGAGAAAAGGGAAAAAAATACAAAAACAACTTTTGACTTTTTTCAGTACAAATTTGTAATAAAATAACTCTTTACTCTAAATTGAAACAAAAACAACATACAGACAATATAAAAATTAAATGAAAAACTAAAGCTATATAAAATAACCACTTATTCTCTCTTTCTAAAGAAAGAAGTCCAAAAGTGGTCGCCATATAGAATAGGATAGTGAGTTCTAGGTAGGCTGTGCCTGTCTATATAGAACTAAACTAAACATTAAACTATGGTATGAACCATAGTTAACAAACCACAACACTTGAGTCCACAACCAAACTAACCCAACCAAACTAATCCAACACCATGTAATAATTTAATACAATGATCTAGGCCAGGGGTGTCAAACTTGATTTCATTGAGGGCCGCATCAGGGTTGTGTCTGACCTCAGCGGGGGGGCAGGGGGGAGTGGGCAGGGTGGGCGTGGCCAGCCCGTCACTTGTATCACTGGTGGCCCGAGCACTCTGCCAGAGAAAACAGGCTCCTGAGCTCTGTTTTTGGCTGCCACGGCCTCCTGCAACCCTCTGCTAGTGAAAACGGAGCTTGGGAGGGCCACAGGAGGCTGTGGCAACTAAAAACGGAGCTCGGGAGCCCGTTTTCACTGGCAGAAGCACCGTGGGCCAGTCCTTTGCTGTTTCCAGGGTAGCCCCGCTGGCCAGATCTAAGTACCCTGTGAGCTGGATCTGGCCCCCGGGCCTTGAGTTTGACACCCCTGATTTAGGCAATAAATGATACAGCATACAATACAATAGTCCTCAACTTACAACAGGTCATTTAGTGACTGTTCAAAGTTACAACAGCACTGAAAAAAGTGACTTATGACCATTTTTCACAGTTACGACCTTTGAAGCATCCCCATGATCGTGTGATCAAAATTCAAATGCTTGGCAACTGGTTCATACTTATGACAATTATCCCAAAGATGCTTTTTTAAGAGGCAACTGGATTTTGTTTTTCTTTGAAGACATTTTGCTTCTCATCCAAGAAGCTTCTTCAGCTCTTCTTGGATGAGAAGCAAAATGTCTTCAAAGAAAAACAAGAAAGTCCAGTTGCCTCTTGAAAAAGCACTTTTGGAAGAACCATGACCTGGATGACGAGAATTTCCGTAGACACTTATGACCATTGCTGTGTCTCCCATGTGATCCCCTTTTGCAATCTTCTGACAAGCAATATCAATGAATTCACTTAACAACCAGATTACTAATTTATGAACTGCAGTGATTCATTTAACAACTGTGGCAAGGAAGGTTGTAAAATGGAGCAAAATCACCCAACAAATGTCTCATTTAACAATTTTGGGCCCAATTGCGATTGTAAGTCGAGGACTACCTGTACTGATGCTGACATATCAGTGCATTTGTTAACCAAGCTTACGGTTTATTCTGTGGCAAACAGCCATAAATGTATGTAGGGTTGTGTTGCCACATGTTTTATACCGACAGATAAGGAACTTCTCTGATTGTGCTTCTGATCCATTTCTCTGCCTCCACACTGACTTTTCTAGTTAGGGCTGCTGGGTGTTGCAACCTCTAATCCGGGGTGAAATCCAGAAGGTTCTAACAGGTTCTGGAGAACCAGTAGTGGAAATTTTAAGTAGTTCGGAGAACCAGCAAATACCACCTCTGGCTGGCCCCAGAGTGGGGTGAGAATGGAGATTTTGCAATATCCTTCCCCTGGAGTGGGGTGGGAATGGAGATTTTGCAATATCCTTCCTCTGCCATGCCCATAGAACCAGTAGGGAAAAAATTTGATTTCACCCCTGCTCTAATCACCCTCACACACACACACACACACACAACATAGAGGAGGGTGAAATCCAAAGCAGGCTGTAATAGAGAGAGGCAGAACCTTAGCAAGCGCTGTCCCAATCCCCGAACGTCCCCTGCCTTCCCTCTCAGCTGAGGAGATGCCAACACTCGGTCCAGACCAGGGGTCTCCAACCTTGGCAATTTTAAGATTTGTGGACTTCAACTCCCAGAATTCCTCAGCCAGCTTTGCTGGCTGAGGAATTCTGGGAGTTAAAGTCCACAAGTCTTAAAGTTGCCAAGGTTGGAGACCCCTGGTCCAGATAATAATCCGCGGCGACTGTCACCTGACACATACGACCGCCGGATTCACTCACACACACACGCGACCACTGCATCCCCTCCGTTCGAATCCTCCCCGAGCATCAGCATCGCCACCCCAGCCTTTCGCTACGGACGCCCGCCACAAGGCACCCACCCCCCCTCATCCGGAAAACTCGCTCTCCCTCCCCTTTCGCCCCAGCCTCCGCCTCGCCGGCCTGGGCCCCGCCTCGCGTCAGCTGATTGGGCCTTTCGAACTGTTGCGGGCGGAGGCGGCCGAATGAATCAGGGAGCGCTGGAGCTCGAGAGGATTCCCTTGCCGCTGCCGCAATCTCACGTGTGCTCCTCCCCCCCCCCCCCCAACCAGGCGGAGGATGCGTGGAGGGTTCTGACTCTGGAGTTCCCCGTCGTAAGTATCTCCAAGTTTCCCCGGTAGATAGCAGATGGTTTGATTGACGTGTGATGTCTCTTGGCTGAAACGCAGTAGGTCCCCCAAGCAGATTTGGGACTGATCACAACCTGCTAGGCTGAAGCGTGGTTGGTGGGTTGTTTATGGCTCCCTAGAGCCTCTTAAGTTCCCTGTGCCGTACAAGGGGATGGGTTGCCTTAAACCTCAAGGCGCTAATGCTGTTTCCTTGCTTCCTTTTGAAATAGGGCTATGGAAAAGTGCTGGCCATTTACTCAGAAAAGGGGAAGAAAATCAATTCAGCTCTTGCTGTCTGTTGCAGTGACGCACATGCAGTCTTGACCAGCAGTTTTCTCGCCCGGAGGAAACGGCTTTCTGCAACCTCAGCCTTCATTCCGGCAGGTATTTTGTGGAAAAATGGGAACTGTAATCCGACAGGGAACCAAAACTTGGGGAAAACTTGAAATAGAAGCTATGCTGACTTTTTACCGCATTTTGCCAAGGGCATAAATACTCAAAATACTGAAACTCAAAAAACATTGAAAAGGATGTGACATAGTATAACAGCCTGTGGCAAGTTGTTCCTTACCCTGGCTGATTTTGGAGTTTGCAAGTTCTGAATTCAAGGTTATATGGTCTTCTAGTAATTTTCCAACAATGTAAGACAAGTGTTTTTCAAAATTGGCAAGTTTTAAGATGTGTGAACTTCAATTTCCAGAATTCCCCAGCCAGCATGGATGAAGTTTGAAACCTACTGGTGTAAAGTAATCCTAAACTGCTGAAATGATAACATAAACTGCAGTAGGGTATAAGTTTAAATAAACTATTTTTTAATTATGGATTTACATGTTACCCTTAAAAATGGGATGCAATTATAAGGCGTGTTACTAACATCACATACATAATTGTATATGTGATTATGCATATAATTTCTGTAATAATTCACCTGAGGGTGAAGCACTTATCCCTCACTACAGCTGCAGCGTCCCCAGCAAATGAGTGAAGTTGTTTTGTTTGGTTGTAAAACTCCACTTCACTTCAGTCCTACAGGTTCAGAGATGTGAACCCCAAATAATTTAAAATATCCTTTCAGTTTACAATTTGAAGGCTAAACGGTAAAGTGTGAAAATAGCAGGAAGGGTCCAACAAGAACAATCAAAATATTGAAAGCCATGTATTCCTAAAAAAATGATTTTCCTCAATTTCCAGAAGATTAAGACGTGCGTCCTTTGGAAAATTAAGTTTGTTGGGTTAACTGCCCAAATGTCTTCTCCCTTTTTCTAACTATTCTTGAAAAATTGTTAAGACAAGGACTCCTCTGAAGAAAGTATCTTTTTTCCTGGTTCTGAAAGATTATTGCTAGTATTTTAATTGTACCAGAAATTAATATGCATCTCTTGTAATATTCAAATAGCATTCGAAAGGTTTAGTTCAGGGGTCAGCAACCGGTGGCTCCGGAGCTACATGTGGCTCTTTCATCCCACTGCTGCGGCTCCCTGTCACTGGTCGGCTCCACAATTGATAGGGCTTTTGGTTAGGACAGGTAGAGGAAAAAGGAAGCTGCGCTAGGAGGAGACTCTATGGTGGGGGAACTGGACTTCCAGTTGGCTCCAGAATTGAATGGGGAGCTTCCAGTTAGGACCTTTGTGGCTCTTTGAGTGCTTAAGGTTGCTGATTCCTGGTTTAGTTGAATACTACAAGATAGTATATTATCTGAAATTATCACGTGCAGCTCATTCCTGTTCCTGCTTGTTTTGTAGTTGGCCCATTGAATTCAGTAGCATTTCCACATAAGTATATGAACACGATTATATTATGACTGGGTTTATGTATTTTAACCCATGATTTATTTTAATTAGAATTTGTTAAACAAGCCATATACCCTTCTTCTCATGTAATATCATAAGCCATGATTTATAAATCACAATGGCTATGATGTATGAACTGAGGTGTATTTTGTATTTCAAACATCACATTCCTAATTCACCATTTTATGATAGAGAAAAAGGAACAAACTTAATACTTGTATATCTTTTTTCTTCTTATTTTTTCCCATAGAAGACTTCCTGGTTTTCTTAAACCACAATTTCCTGTGATTATTGAACTATAAATCTGTGATTTACAAGCCTTTAAAGGCCAAAGGGAAAAAAAAGAAAAGAAAACCAGAGTGAAAAGGCACATACACACTTCTTATTTGTTCCCAATCCTCCAAATCTTGATTTGAAAAACAAAGAATATGATTACTGAAACAAGCTGTATACAAAAGACTAATGTTAAACTAATGTTAAACTTATTGAATAAACCACAATTTGATAGATTCAAACAAGTTAAGCCCTGAAACATAGTTTAGAAAAGGTCCCATTCAGCCAGAAAATGCAAGCCACACTGTACAGATAGTCCTCGATTTACAACTTTTTGTTTAATGACCATTCAAAGCTACAATAGCACTGAAAAAAGTGACTTCTGACCATTTTTCACATTTATGAGCATTGCAACATTAAACACTTGGCAACTGACTCATATTTATGATGGTTGCAGTGTCCCAAGGTTATGTGATCACCCTTTGCAACCTTCTGACAAGCAGAGTCAATGGGTAAGCCAGATTCAGTTAACAACCATGGTACTAACCTAACAACTGGAGTGATTTGCTTAACAACTGTGGCAAAAAAGGTTGTAAAATGGACAAAACTCACTTAACAATGGCCTCTCTTAGCAACAGAAATTTTGGCTCAATTATGTTCGTAAGTTGAGGACTACCTATAATGAGCTGTAATGAGATTTCTGTTCTGGCCTATTGAATTTTAACCTGAAACACTAGCTTATTCTATAAAAAATCAGACAGCTTAACTTGGTATGTAAATTCAGTTACTAAGTCTATAATGTGAGAAGCAAAATTCTAGTCATCAATTTGTGAGCTTCATACTTGTATTTTAACTGATTGCAAAGACAGATGTAATATTATGAAGTGAGCTGATATAAAAATCTTCTGACATTTTCTTTCAAGTGTGCAGTTTTTCCCTAAAATAGGCAGGCTTTGTGTGACATTCTTGAAAACTGAAGATGCTGAACATTCTTCTAATAGTTCTTTTTTTGAATATTTTCCTTTGTTCAAGTTGATAGGCTGCCTTGCATATTGGGCAGTCTTTTTGTTACTGTGGCAGTTGGTTTGTTAAGGACCTTGTTCAAATGTGTAAGTGTTCCATCATTTAATGAGAGCAGTATTTTTGGTAGCTGTTGCCACCATATTTTTTTCCTTCTAAAATGTCAATGAAGCCCCTTACTTTGGCCTGTTAAGACAAAGAGCTTTTTATGTAAATGAACTTTATTCCCTGGTACTCACTGTGGGAAGCTGAATACATTAGTTAGTAAAGACTTGTTCTACTTTCTGTCTTTTTTGTGTAGTATAAAGGAGAGAAATATCAGGAGGACGTGACTTTCTTATGTTCAAATAATAAATGGTAGCATTTGTTTAGGATCTGTGTTCCCAGCTGGCTTGGAACTGAGATTTTTGATGTAGCTTTAAATTTACCACTTTAGCAATATTGGTAGGCAAGTGAATTCAATATGTGATCTGAAGATTAGTTTAAACTGAAATCTACATGGAGGTTTTTGTTCTAAATACTGTCATACACTAGGATTTGCATTCCAATACAACTGTTTGCAATGTAGATTTTTTTTCCATACAGTATTAATTATTCAATTAATTGAAGTCTCGTATGCTTTAAATGTTTCTATGGAAATTTGTAACAATTAAGATTTCAATTGCAGTTTGAATTCTTTCTATTTGGCAATAGTCGAGGAAATGTTTTTCATTTGAGGCAACTATATAATTTTTTAAAAAACAGAGATAAATGTAAAAATATAAACAATGTTTAAAATGTATGGGAAACAAATGTGCAAGCACTGGATGTTATTTCATATTGATATACTTAGAATTATTCCTATGCTAACATTTTAATTAACTTTAACTAGATTGTTAGAATTGATAATTTTCAATGGAAAGCATAGACTCTTAGATTTTCGGTATCTAAATTTCAAATTTACAGTAGGACATGTACGATAATTTGGCATCATTTTATTTATGGAACTCAAGCAATTGAGTAGGAATAAATATGAGAATGATCTTTCTGTGACATCCGTCACCCCACTGATAGAAATATAAAATGGAAGGGAATATTTACATATATGAATTAGGCTTGTCTACTGTAATGCACCATTTGATTTTTTTACTCATATTTGCCAATATGGTTTAAAGATGTTAATCTACTTTTGATATATTAAAAACATGGAATGTTGTTATAAGGATTATGGAGATACTGAGCATGAAAATTGAAAAAATTATATTCAGTATTGGAAATATATTGAAGTCCCAATTTTGGATTGGTTTACTTTTTGTTGATCTGTTGGCCGTCTTTTCAATGTTACAGATAAATGAAGAAAAATAAAATACAATTTGACACTTTTAGCTGAAAGTATCTTTTTTCCTCCTAATCCTAGGAACATCCAACTACCATGCAACATACAGTTCAGGTAGGCAAACTAAAATATTACAGCTATATCTATTAAATATTTTCCTTCTTTCTGATATATATCTAAAGAACATAACTGACTATTGATTTAATGTTCAACTCTAATGGAATTTTATGCCTGTTTGGTCAAAACATTTGGTTTTTTAAAATACTGGTATTTTGCAGAGTAATCTAGATGGATTATACAAGCCAAATTCAGCTTTTAATAGAGCTACAGTGCTCCAAAATAATAGTGATTCATTTGGGGAACATATTATGAACTTTCCATTTTTTAAAGTCATTGATAATGGATTGCAAATATGATCAGTTGTTCCATAGTGCTGAAATTGCAATCAGTCTTGTTGATATGTACCTTAGGTGTGGTTTGGAGATGATTTACCTATTAGTCCACGCAGTCCATTGACTCCAAGGCATGGCCCTGGCCTGGCTGATGTTTTACTGTATGACCAATGGATATCTGTCCGACATGAGGCAACTTTGATTCCTATGCAAGAGGATCTGGCTATCTGGCTATCTGGCTTATTGGGTTTGTTTCAAGAACCATGTAATTACTATAGAAAAAGATATAGGGGTAGAGCTAGATTTAGAGTTCATGCTGTTAGAAGTTGAAACCACTAATTTTACTGTTTCTCCTTTTATAGAAGTCTAGTCATTTGTTAAGTGTACATAATACCTCTTTACCCTAAACAGTTTTAAAAGGCATGTGTGTTTTTTGAAACATTGACTAGTATGAGGTTCAATATTTTTCCTAATTAGTATAGTTAAAACTACAGGCCAATGTACAGTTTGAGATATAAATACCGTATTTTTCATTCTATAAGACGCACCAGAGTATAAGACTTTAGTTTTTGGGGAGGAAAATAAGAAAAAAGCTGATTGGGAGTGGATCGGCCTCCCGGAATACCCCCAATCAGCTGTTCCCAAAGGTGAACTTTAGCAACAGGTTCGTTGGTTGTGAACTCTGCGCCTTGCTTTTTTTTCAGCCTCTGAAACTTCCATTTCAGAGGCTTTTTTCAGAGGCTCCCCTCTTTTAGGGGGGGAAAAGGTGCATCTTATCCCCCCAAAAATACAGTAATTACTTTAAAATACAATAGGATCATGTGCTTTATGAGTGACATCTGTGACATTCAGTATCAGTTTGGACATTGCCACAATCCCACTGCAGATAAACCACAATAAAAGGGAATGTTACAGAGGCTCTGAATAGCGAGATGTCAGCATGTAAATTTAATAATAAATAAATAAACAGTATTTTTCCAGTTGATTTAGGTTGAAGCTATGCTTAACTATATCTGAGTTATCAGTTTGAGTTTTATCTGTTCTGTACTAATGAAAATCACGGCTCTTCTATAGGTATTGAACTTAAAGCAGAGCATTTATTGGAAGAACTTGATAACGGGGTACTGCTGTGCATTTTGATTGGAATCATTCAGAACATAGTTAAAAGTAACTCAAATGATTTAAAAGTAAGTTCATTTTTTTAAAAAATAGCAATTAACTTTTCTTTAAATTAATGAAAAGTCATGTGAGCAAGATTTTCCTATTAAATGTGCTTGTATTTACCCAAAAGGAAGATAATCCTGCATGTAAGTTTTAAAGGAACATTAGCAAAAATACTCTACTAATCTATGCTTAACAAATCTAAGATTATTTCCATATTTTAAATATAAATTATTGAGTAGGGAGGAATTTAGTCTTCCTCTAAAATGAATATAGTACATTGCTTTTCTTCAAATGAAGATAGTTAAGAATGTTAAACATAAAAATCCTATTACTAGACAGTTCATTATTTTTTTTTCAAATGTGCGGAGGTAGTCATAATGTTCTTGCATTAAAAAAAAGTGTGCTGAATATTTCACCCTAATACCAAAGTTACTTTAATTTTAATGTTATCCTATGTTCAAGTAATGCATTCAGATAGCAATTCTTGGAATTCATCTTCTGCTTTATGCTACTGCATTCACTCCCTACTACAATTGTGTATCTCAACTTCCCATGTGAACTAACGGAAATAAAGCAAGAATATTAGAACTCCTGCACCTACGTTTCTAGAATTCTGGGAATACTGATCTGGTTCAGTTCTCATAAAACAGTGAGTGGTTAGGTTTGCTTTGGATTAATATGTTGTGTAAATGGACATATTCCCACCTTAATGAGCCACATACATTTTGCCCAGGGATAGCTTAATGTTACTTAATACATTTTGTGTTCTTCAGAGCTTGAGAAATCTACATAAAACAGTCAGATGGTTTAGGATGATATTTATTGAGAAAGATTTCTGGTAAGCATGAAATACAATGCAGGAGCTCTGAAAATAGGAAGTGTTACAGCTGGTACAGATGTTGGCACTTAGGACTTTTGAACTTGGGGTATCAGGTGATCTGTCATAAAAGGATGCTGAAAGAATCGTTGAATGTATACCACGGCTATAGTGAAAAATTGGAGGAAATGTTACACAAATTAGATGCACTTAGAATTATAAACAGACATAAAATATTATTTGGATAATACATACAGTGGCTTGACATGGTGCAGAATACCGGTACATGAAAGTTGTGCCTCAGATTAGGTTCTGTGAAAAAGGAAAAGTAATTTGGAAGATGAAAGTCTGCTGATTAAAATTGTACATGACTTGAAATTCATTAGAAAAATGTGAATCATATGTTCAAGCTGCTGACAGATTTGTTCTAATTTTAAAATACTGAAGTAGTATTTTGTATATAAATAACCTGGAGGGTTTGTTCTGGATATTCATGTGATACATGTTATTGCCCTTCTTGTATCTTTCAAGCCATGTTTTCAGCTAAGTAAATGGGTCATCTACTTTTTTCTGACAACTAAAGGTGAATGCCACAAAGTTTGGTGTGTGGCTTTTTTTGCCTTTTAGCTGAGTCCTCAGCAATCCTGTTTTAAACAAATTTCCCCATTGCTTATTTATATACAGCTGAAATTAATTTCTTTTGAAATGTAATCTTTTTTTGGGGGGGGGGAAGAAGGAACCCCCTCCCCACTTTCCTTACTGGTTCTACTTTAGAAAAAGCTTCTGTGAATGTTTTGGAATGTTTACTGTTAAAATTTCTACATTACTTTCCAGAATTTCCCTTTGAGAAAAGTCCCCTGTAAAAAAGATGCTCCTTCAGGATCTTTCTTTGCCAGAGATAACACAGCAAACTTTTTGAATTGGTGTAGGTGCATTGGCGTGGATGAGACTTATCTTTTTGAATCCGAAGGCTTAGGTAACTTGTTTTTTTGCATTGAATTATATTAAACTAATGTCTTATATAGGCTATTATTCACTTCTAAATTTAAAAGATGAGGTGGTTGCATGAATAAGATCCTTCTGCATTGGAAAAATATCTTTGTATGTTTAATAAACTCTGTTAAAAACATGTAGTAATGCAAATACTAAACGGCAAAATATTTCATGGTCTGAAATATTAAAACAACTTTTTTGGGGGGGACTATCTGATAATAGAAGTTACTATAAGAGTTTTAAATTTTAGTTTGACAAGTTTAATAATTGCAATATCTTTCCAATAGAATTGAGAGGTTTTTTTTTAAAAAAAAATGTTGGGATTGTCTGATTTTTGCAACGTGAATTTGTATCAGGTTATTCTGATATCTTTGGAAGATGTTAATGTGATAATGGCTTTATTAATGCCATTGGATGAAGAATTTAATGTTAATAGTTAATAATCTGTTGACAATTAATCTTTTGCTTCAAGTCTTGGATTCTACCTTTTTTACTTCTTTCTAACTTGGCAGAAGTTAACAGTATGTATAAAAATACAAACTGTTAACTATGCCTAATGCTGCTACCCTCAGTTTATTACTCATCCTAAAAAAAAATCTGTTGTTGGGTTTGCACGTCAAGGATTGGACTGCTTACCTCTTGTTGTTTCAGGTTGGATCTTGTAACCAGCAGCTGCCAGACCAAATTTTTACAGATGGACTAAAATCTTGTAGTGCTCATTAAGAAAAATAGCTTGGAGATGTATTGCTAATTAGGTTTTTAGCATTGTCCCTTTTAAAAATAGATAGACATAACTGTAAGTCCTATGCCTATATAAAATCACTTCTTAAATTTTTGGTATTGTATATCCTTTTTGAAGAGTATTCTTTATGTATGCTTTGCATGGTGTGGGTGTATTTAAATTTAAAAAATATTATTCAGTATTGTTAAAGGTATGGCAATGTTCAGTTTGTAAACAGTTTTTCAATGTAATTAACAGGACAGGGTTTATAAGATACAATGTCATCCAAGAATGATAGGATTCATATATCTCCTACACAGCATATTTTAATCTACATTCAGTTATTTTTTTCTATAAAGGAACAGGGTGTAGGTTCATCAAGCCTGTATTATATTGCAGTTTTAAGGACATAATTCAAAATATTTGAAAGTGGTTACTGATTACAGTAGCTGGTTTTGTGGCATGAATATATGCTTTGTGTGTTCTTGGCAAAGATCTGCAAGGACCCTTTTGTAAGCTTGTGGGGGTGAAATAAAGAGTGGGTTTGTGCCTAGACAATATTCATGTAGGGGGCATATGGGTCTCAAAAGAGTTTCACTGCATTCATCGTTACAAGTGCCATTGAATCTTTATACTTTTAGAAAAAGGCTAAGCTCACTTTGCAGTTGTAAACCTGCTATAAGCAATTTGTACAAAACATTGAGCTGGGTGAGATGTGCCTCATCACAGGGGCTAGACCATATTAATATGACACAGGTTGTCCAAACTCTCACAGTAATCAAGAGTGGAACATTCACGGAGCAAGCCTGTTTAAGTTCTGATTAATCAAATTTATTTTAAAGAAATACAAGTATTGATAATTCTGCTTTCAAAAGTGAACTGTCCAAACTTGCTTCATTGCTCCTGCCCTTTTGGTGAAAGGAAAAGAAAGCTTGACTCTTCTGGAAAAAAAATGATTGATGATTCTCAGTGTAACCATCCATATCCATATTTATTTCTTAGATAAATCTGGTAATTGATCCAGCCATTATAATACTATATATATATATATAATGCCAAGTTTATAACACAAACTGAAGGTCTCAAGCATTCCTCTGCTTGTATCGCCCAGATTATGCTGCCTTCTGTTTTACACATTTAGAATTCTATACTGTGTACACTAAATATCTATGAAAATTATGAATAATATGCATCTATTCTATTATACATCCTGAATGCATTTTTCCTTGTAGCTGAGAATTTTTGAAAGAAGAGATCACATAGGATAAAGCAGGATTTCTTAAAGTGAGGGTTGGGAATTCCTAGAGGGTTTCAGATAAACGGAAAAGTTAGAACACATTTGGGACTCGCTTTTCTGTTCTGCCTCAAAAGGTGACAGTTTGGGAAAGGACTTATTTTACTGAAGAACTTCATACTAAGAATTTATATTCCCCACCTGCCTTTCCAAATGTCCAGTCAAGGAGGGATATTGGAGAGCCTACCTCTTCCTCCATGGAAAACTTTAATCGGCCAGGCTACTTATAGTAAACTGGTGGCCCTGGCAATTACACTGGTTCCACTATGCCAATACCCATGGTTTCTGCTTTAAGCATTCCTCCCAACCCCAATAGGAAATTGTAAATGTAAACAATGGCCCTTATCATTGGATGTCTTCTTGAACTGTGGTTTGTTACCAAGGCCTTTAACTAACCCTGCTGGCTTATATTTCAGAATATTGTGGGAAGTTTTTTTCAGGAGATGTCTTAGATTCTGTTCCTTCTCATTGCTGGGAGATTCTGCGATAGACATATGAAAAGGACACAGGTCACTTTGGCATAACTAAGAGAGGCATACACAGGGGTAGGATTCAGATAATTTAACAACCGGTTCTCTGCCCTAATGATTTCTTCCAACAACCAATTCACCAAACTGCTCAGAAAGTTAACAACTGGTTAACTTCGGTTTTCCCAAAGTGGTGCAAACTGGCTGAATCCCACCACTGGGTATACATAATGAAACTTTGTGGACAGTTTGTCTAGGGACAGAGGGAAGGAAAATCCTTAGAGTATGGTCTTATGGTTTGCCCAAGCAAATCCCAAAGGGAGTGCTAGTACGGCTCCAGCACTAACCTCATGCCATGCATACTTAAAATTGGATCGCTGTTAGTATTGGGAGCTAGGAAACATGCCTTTTCCATGGCAGCCCCTGCCCTATGGAATATTTTGCCCCCTGAGATTTGGCAGGCCTCTATCCTTCTATCTTTCCTTTCGTAAAGCTTTGAATACCTTTCAAAGCCCTTTCGCCCAAGCACTGGAGTAAGATTGGATGATTGCACATTAGAAGTTTGACTTGGCATTAGGGTTTTTTTGTTTTTAATGTTGTAATGTGTTTGCTTTTATAGTTTTATAGTCTTTTATATGTTGTTTCAATCTTTGATTGGGAGCCTCCCAGAGTAGTTTAGAAGATGGAGTTATATAAATGTTTTAAATACATACATACATACATACATACATACATACATACATACATACATACATACATACATAAATGCACTGGTAGATTTCCAAATCAATGATAGCTAAAAAAAGGTCTGGATGCCAAGCAAGAGTACACCAAGGAGTAGATTAGAAAAGAACTTGCTGGTAGAGACTTACACATTTACATATGAGTTACATGTGTTCCAAATTTTGATCCATGCCATTGAATGTAGGCAAGTTATCTAGGTTTCACTGAATTATTATTTTTTTCCTTACTTGCACTAATTTTTTTTAAAGTTCTGCATAAAGACCCAAGACAAGTGTACCTTTGCTTACTGGAAATTGGTCGCATTGTATCAAGGTATGTATTCATTGTTTTCTCCAAGAAGATGCTTCGAATGCATTGTGAGTCTCCCCAAGGTTCTTAGAGTTTTCGCAACAGAGATTTGCTGATTTCATGAGACACATGGTACTACAAACTAACCTAGTGCATTTTAACTGGTGCTTGATTAGTTCACGGTTTTGTATTCATGTTCTGAAAATTGGGTTAATTGATAAACCTCATTTAAGTTAAGAGTGTTATGAAAACACAGCCATTCAGATATAAGCCTATATTCCCTAGCAAAGCAGTCCAGGTGTCATAGGATATTTTGCATTTTCCACCTACAGGTGGAAAAGGAAGTCTTCCTTTGCCATTGGGTGAGATAATGAAAGAACCTCTACTATCACTGTTCCACAGCAGCGCACCAGGTTTTACCGAAGAAGCCAGTAACCCATAGGACAATAGGATGTTTTATTCCTGTGTTCTACCCTTATTCCCAAAAGTACTCAGTGTAATAGCCACTCTCGCCCTATGGTTATTGTCTTAGAATTTTGTTAAAATTCTAAATGTAGTATTTTATACATTTTTCTTTTTATAGACATGGAGTTGAACCACCAGTATTAGTAAAGTTAGAGAAGGAAATTGAATTGGAAGAAACTTTGTTGATGTCCTCTGATAGTGTAGCCCCTATAGTTTCCTACAAATCGTGCTGTCAGCATGGAGAATTACATGAAGCAGTAAGTAGCATGCATATTTCTGCCTATGAAGCTATATCTAAATCTTTCTGGAATCTGTAACCCCAAGAACCACAGTGATGAACTATGTAAACTTTCTAGATATTTTGAATGACTAGATCATGCTATGGTCCAGGTTTGCTCAGTTTGGAATAACATATTATGCAAGCCAAGTCACTGTGGTTTATTAACTGTAATTAAAGTTTAGCATTTAGACAAAAACAGCAAATTTTGATTTATTTTACAAATCATAGTCAGGCAAACCATGTTCAGTATAAAATGTGAACCTAGCCCAAGTGTCTACAAATCTCATTCCAATCAAAAATCTATCTATTAATGAGCTGTGGTGGCTCAGTGGTTAGAATGCAGTACTACAGGCTAACTCACTGCTCACTCCAGGAGTTCGATTCTGAGCGGCTCAAGGTTGACTCAGCTTCCATCCTTCTGAGATTGGTAAAATGAGGATGCAGATTGTTAGGGGCAATATGCTGACTCTGTAAACTGCTTAGAAAGCACTATGAAGTGGTATGTAAGTCTAAGTGCTATTGCTATAATGTTGGTCAAGATTACAGTAAAACAAATTAGTTGAATTTTGTTGGTACTACATCTGATCCACCAATTACTAAGTTTATGGTTTTATAAACTCTGAAGTAGCATGAAAGGTGAAACCATTTTGTTGTCAGACCATGACCTATTGCAGGAGAGAGCCATGCGGAAGAGACAGAATTTGACAGCAGCTAATAAAAAGATGAAAAGAACATTAAAAAGCCACTTTAAGATCTAGCAGGAGGGTAAATTGAATCAGCATTCAACAGTAGATTAACATTTAAAAGTAGATATTTAAAAAAATTAAAAAGTGCAGTTAAAATCCAGCCGTTTTAAAAAAGCAGACAGTGGACGGAAAAACGATAGAGACTCAGCTCTCTGACCACTCCATGTAGAATTGTTACCTTCTAGGTCCTCTTCTCAGGTAGGTCCATAGTCATCAAAGAGTCAAGATGAGTCATTCCTAGTAGTCCCCGTTTATAACCGGGGAGCATGCTGCCAAAGAGCCAGCTTTGATGGTGAAACCAGCTGTCTCTCATCAGGAGACAAACATTTCTGCTGCCTCAGAACTTCATCTTGGGGGCAGGTCCAAAAACTGTAATTCATATTTAGTGTTGTTTTAATATATATTATATGAAGGTAACAAAATTTTTGTACATTATAGGTTAAGCATATTGCTGAAGATCCTCCTTGTAGCTGCTCGCATAGATTTTCAATTGAGTATTTGTCTGAAGGGCGCTATAGATTGGGAGACAAAATACTATTCATTCGAGTAAGTACAAGTTTTCAGTGATTTTGCTTGGTCACTTAAGTATCAATCTTAATTGGGTGGGAAACTTTTCAAGATATGACAATATAATTTAATTGGCATTACCTTTAGTGATATCATCTGCTTAGTTTCATTGCCTATCTGAAAATGTCCCACTGTTACTGATGCTTGGGAATATTTCAGCAATCATTCTGTCTCTTTGCTGCCATAATACTGGGCAGCTTGTACTCCTCTGCATCTCTTGGTCTGCACTTTTTTTTAGGGTGTTCGTGTGTACAATACTTCTATTGCTTTCTAGGGATTGGTGGCAAATGGGAAAACTGAATGTTAATTTTAATATTTCATACAATACCTATATTGCTTAAGTGCAATCAGTTATAATCAAACTATTTTTTTAATCTCCTTTTTTATTAGATGTTACATGGCAAACATGTAATGGTACGTGTTGGTGGAGGCTGGGATACTCTTCAAGGTTTTCTTCTCAAATATGATCCTTGCCGAATGCTTCAGTTTGCAACGTTGGAACAAAAGATTTTGTCATTTCAAAAAGGTGCATCTGGTGATACGGTTTCTGATTCATCTGCTAAACCTCCACAGCCTCCACCCATGAATCCCATATCTGCCATTGATGCTTACCATAAACAAAGTTCAAAGCACTCTGCTATGGTTTCTGTTTCAAAAACTCCTCAGGTAGGTAATAGGAAACAGGCAGTATGTAAGTCGTCTCAACCAACAGTTCTTTCTTCTTCAGAAGCAGCAAAGCATTCCTTACCTACAGACCAGTTGACACGAAACCAGCCCAAATTAAAAGATTCATCAGTAAATAACGTTCAGCCATTTCCCAAAGCATCAAAACCGGTTTCCAAAAAGCCAGCACCACCTTCTCATAACCCTACATCTGTTTCAAAATATAGACAAACTGTAAATAAATGCTCATCATCAGCTCAGGGGAGAACTGCTTTAACACCATCAGCATCTCTTCAGAAATGTACTGCATCATCTACCAAGCCTACATGTTCCCAAAACTTTCCAACTGTACAACATTCTGCTCTAGGTTGTTCAAACAATAAACTTTCCAGGTTGCCTGAAACGACTACAAGAGAAGGCTGTCTAGAAGAACATGATTCTCCTGATAGTGCAGCTGGGCTCAAAAATGTAGCCAAATGTAGGCCTCTTTCAAAAACCTCAGCAAAATCAGCAAAGACAATTAACAGAAATTTACATGTGTCTAAGCCATCTTGCCCTCAAACATCATCTACAATGCCTACAAAAATAATTTCCCAAAATAGTAGTCAAACATTACCCACACAGTTTTACTCGCACAGAGGTAAATTGGAAACTAAGCAAACCAAACAGAAAACTGCTCTTAGCCCCAAACAGCTGAGTTCTAATTCCTCTCTTACAAATGATAAAACAACTGAGCAGACATCTACACTAGATGTAAAGAGTAAAAATTCATTTTCATCTGTTAATAATTATTCTTCTGCCAAGAAGAGACCAGTTCAAACTAGTAGGATGAAAATACAGAGAACAGCTGATGCAACAACACATTCTGATCGTATGCCCTTATCTATTGTGCGTCTTCCTCAAACATCGACCATAAACGGGACAAGGAAAAAGACAGTAAAGGCTAACGTCAAAAGTCAGGCACAGGTCAAAGTCTCCCAGAAGAATGATAAAGACCTGGATTCAACCACTAAAGATCCCATTTTAAAAGGAAAAGCTGCAACTGTTCTAACTAAAGGGACACAGATTAGGTTAAAGGATGCCGTAGTAAAGTCAAAACAGGATGATAATTACTTTGTTGTGACTGGGAATAAGAAACTAAGAAAGTAAAGTACCAAGAATTTTAATTGATTATTGCAACATGTTTTTCTAATAGCCACCTTATACTTGGGACCTTAACATTAAATAACAATACAATAATTTGAATGCTAACTGCCTTGGAACAGGAGAGTTTAAAAGGTTTCCTAGTCCCCACAAGTGCAATAGTTGATTGATTACAAATAGGCACTTTATCACAATCTTTAATTATAAATGTTTTAGGATCTATTTCTCACATTGATATTAAAATGATAAGGATGCTCCTAATAGGCTATTTATTGCTCAGTTTCATGTGGCAAATATTTCTTAATGAATTGTAAGGTGATGTTTACCATCTCCAAGGAGAAATACAGCATAGCAAATTGGCTGTAGTATTAGTTACATCTCCCAGAAAAAAAATGATATCTTCTGATAATACAGTCATTTGTTGACTGATGAATCTTTGTTTTTGGTAAGGGCTTTGGTCAAACATCAGCATGAGAATTGGTATTTACTACTGTTGTGTGTGCATACTACTAAGTAGAAAAGCAATTGTCAAATATCCTTGAGTTAAGAATAACTCCAAATAAATATCTATAATGCTAAATTTTATTTAACCTTTCAGTGCACAGAGAACACTAAGAACATTTTACAAGAGTTCTTGGCTTTAGGGACAATAATTTTAGTGCCTTCACAGATTATGTGCTTTGTTAGTTGTTTTACAGGAAAGACTGAAAAATGGCTCAAATGTGTATTCTAATTATTATGGGTTGTGTTCAGGGCTACTATTACCAACTGCACTTATATGAACAAAATTATGCATTCAATTATAATTTAATGATGATACTGGCACTGTGTATGTTTATGTTTTATGTTTGCTTTTCTGAAATGACTAATATTTATGCCAGCACAGTGCTTCACTCTTAAAATGTGACAGACAATCTTTCTATAGAAGAAGAGCACCCAGTTTATTTCTAGGAAATTACTTGTCTTTAGAAAGTGAGAGAATAGCTTCAAAAATGGGTTATATTCATAAGCACAACTGAAAACCTTTCAAATAAGCTGCCTTTGGAATTTTTATATTTATGTTTCACACTATTTCATTTTTAGCTGTAGAATATATTCCTTATTTCATTAATCATTTTACTTATAATATAAATAACTAACATTGAAGGAAAAGTACTTTTTTAGTTTTAGGTTTGCATTCAATATTGTGTATTCTCTGACAGGTATACACTATGTATGTGTGTATACTGCTGTTAAGCACAGTTGCACTTGTGGGGTTTCGAAGCAAGTTTTAAAACAAATTTGTGTTCCCCTCCCCTAAGAAGTAAGAAAAACTTCTTAATTTCACTGTGGGTTAAAATGCTACTTGGCTCAGTGCTAGTAGTTGAAACTCAAATTAAAATTGTTATTGTATGAAAATGTTTTCCTCCCTACGCCTCCACAAAAAATTGTGAATTGGTTGTGGCCAGAGTTGAAAAAATTAATTAAGCAAACTTCCTGGCTCTTCTCTAGTTGCATTTTCAAAATAGATTGTGTCTGGTTCCTTGAGATTCATATGGACAAGTGTTACATTTTTTTAGTATATATTCTTATTTTAGAGGAAAACATGCAGGCAGATATTCTTAGGCAATATAAAATTTATATCCATATTTCCAGACTTGCTTATACACACAGATATCCTCAGATACAATCCTCAGACTACTCTGAGATTGTAATTTTATAGCTACTTACCTGAAAGCAACCATATTAAAAAATGGCATTTCAGTGCCCATGCTGCATATGTCTTTTGGATATAGGATAGCGTTACATACAAAAATAATTTGTATCTAATACAAGGATTTCGAAATATTCATTTTTGCACTTCAACAATGTATGGATTTGGGAAAAAAGTGTCTCAAATTATAACAAGTTATAACAAGAAAAGTATATCAACACATTTTTGCTTTCAGTTAAGGTTAACATATGTGCTAGTTGTTTCTGACTCTAGGGGGCGGTGCTCATCTCCGTTTCAAAGCCGAAGAGCCAGCACTGTCTGAAGACGTCTCCTTGGTCATGTGGCCGGCATGACTAAAGGCGCACGGAACACTGTTACCTTCCCACCAAAGGTGGTCCCTATTTTTCTACTTGCATTTTTTATGTGCTTTCGAACTGCTAGGTTGGCAGAAGCTGGGACAAGTAATGGGAACTCACCCCATTACGCGGCACTAGGGATTCGAACTGCTGAACTGACAACCTTTCGATCGACAAGCTCAGCGTCTTAGCCACTGAGCCACGGCGTTAAGGTTTATGTTTGAACAATTTCAAAACTGGTTACAGTTGGTCCCTGTATTCTTAAAACAGAGAAGACACTATCCTGATTTCTTTCTCTGCCCTCCCAATGCTAAATATAAAAAAATCCTAGATATGGGGTTGTAGAATTATTGTGTTTACTAAATAAGCATTGAAAAGCTATAGCAGAATTAAGTGAAACAGCTATATGGCTTCAATTGGGAACTAAACATTTGATTTTAGAAACTATGCATGTTTCCATGGAAGTGTACAGGTTGTGGTGGACTTAACAACTACAATTGGGACCAGAACTTCCACCACGATGCAGTTAAATAAGTCATGACATGACCTCGACCAACTTTACAATCTTTTTTGCCATGGTTGTTAAGCAAATTTAACTTTCCTCACCAACCTTACTTGTTGGAATCCAACTGGGAAGGTTGCAAATGGTGATCACATGACCTTGGGTTACTGAAACTATCGTAAATACATGTTGGTTGCCAAGTGCCCAAATCATGATCATGTGACTGCAGGGACTGTGACAGTCTCATAAGTATGAGGACTGGTTGTAAGACACTTCTTTTCAGCACCGTCATAACTTCAAATGGTCATAAGTCAAGGACTACCTGTAGTTCAAGGTTAAAGTTTGAACTGAAGAATTCGGAAAACAACAAAAACAGTCTGCATTCCTGATAAAGCTATTGCCATAATAAAGGAATAAATTGTTTATGATGTTAGAAACACATTACCTTTTCTAATTAAAAATATATTTGATTTAACTGCATGTTTACCTGTTTTGAATTCTAAGAGCACGTTATCACCAAATTCATTCACATGACATTCATTTGAGTGGCTAAAATTGACACATGAAACTTTTAGCTAAATGGGTTCTTTCTAGTCTTAGCAGAACAATAATCATTACAATATAATGACTATCAATTGGGGTGTGATTGGGTTATGACCCTCTGCATATAGTTTCAAGTTTGAGAAGCTGAGAGGGAAATGAGACCCTCCTGCTGTACTAACCTTGTATTTTATAGCAGAACAGGAAAATAATTACTGAGAATTTTATTAAATATCTGTCCAGAGTAGAAAATCCAGAGGGATGTCTTACTACTGGAGTATTTACACTGGTCTTCAGTCAAAGAGTTACCATCCAGAAAAATCCAGCTGAGATGCTGGGATTGTAGACATTGAATGTGGTAGAATATACAAAATGGATGGGAGAGGAGTTGGAATAGCTACATTCAGTCAGGCAAAAAGAAGAAAAACAAATGGCCACTCTGCAAGTGATGGAGCGAGAAATATCCTGACTGCTCAGTTCTCATCCGATCCTAATCTGCAGATATTTTATTGTGGTAAACCAATGAAATAAAAATATACATTCAATAGAATCAGCTTCAAACTTAAATCATTTCTAAGAATATATTTTACGTAATTGTAAAAAATGTTGTAAAGAGAACAATTGTAAAAATATTTCTTACTAGCTGAATACCCGTGCTCTGCTATGAAACTATGTGATCAGGCTTGATAAATTGACACAACTTGAAAATCAATGAGTAGTTACAATCAGCCTCTCCCCTTCTCTCCCTCAGGCTTGCCCCACAGAAGCCTCCCCTATCCTATCCCCTTCTCTCCCTCAGCCTTGCCCCACAGAAGCCTATCCTATCCTTTCCCTTGCTTGCTGCTGTGAAATTAAAATTGAAACTCCTCTGCTTGTGTTTTGCATTTGGAACAGATTTCTTTACAGGTGGGGAGGGGGAGTAGAACTTAGCATCAGAGCGTGTTAATAATAATATAGGAAATACTAATGCTTTGATGGTCATTTTGAAAAATCCTTTCTTAGTGAGCACCTAGAAGCCAAGAGGAACATACGTGACAAATTTCAAGTTTATAGGTTTTACGATTCTGAAGATTTTGTGATGATGCGTCAGTGGTATTTTGCTTTTACATATATAGATTACTCCAGCAACCACCTCCTTGCCCCACATATATAATCAATGAATTGCTACAAATAACAGTAGCACTTAGAGTTATATACTGCATCATAGTGCTTTACAGCCCTCTCTAAACGGTTTACAATGTCAGCATAGTGCCCTCAACTATTTGGGTCCTCATTTTACCCATCTCGGAAAGATGGAAGGCTGAGTCAACCTTGAGCTGGTGAGAATCGAACTGCCAGCAGTCGGCAAAATTAGCCTGCAATGCTGCATTCTAACCACTCTGCTACCATGGTTCAAATGGTTGGCAAGTTATCCTTCCTTTGTTGTGTTACAGCTAAACAAGTTGAAATTTCTCTACTACAAATGAGTTCTGCGTCCAAAGTCTCTGAAGGGAAATAACGAGTTCCAAATGATTACATAAGATTTATACACACATGCAGATATACACAGCCAGTCAGTCTGGTGTAGTAATTAAGGAGTTGAACAGGAAAATCCAAGTCCTAGTCTACTTTCAAGTATGGAAGAGAGTTTCTGGTCAAAAGCTATCTTGCCAACTCTCATGCCCAAGGGGCGGCGGGGGGGGGGGACTAGAATTCATATTTATATGATTTCTAGCCTAGCATCTTACCCATTACATCAAAGTCCACTGTGATTGCCTTAATATTTTTAGAATTTCTGATTATGCAACCAAGTTATTCTAAAGGCAAAGTAGAAGAAAAGAACAGGGCATCTTAGGGCATAACTCTTTATAAATTTAACAAAGAAGAGAGCATATGGTTAATATTCACTCTTAGAGATTGCATGCGTTTTATCAATCCTAAATATAAAACTTTGAAGCAATTTATAACATGTTAACATAGACTTCATACATTTCCAAGAAAACGTTATCAAATTATTATAGCACTGGATCTTGCCTATTTTGTGCTATTGTCTGATATTGTTAGAAATTTGACAGCCCTGTGTAAATCTATTGTGGGTTGGAGGCACTGTCATTAGAACATCGTGCTATATTTAGAATATCTGTGATAGCTCATTAAAATTTGAAAGTCAGGGACTCATTGAAAAAGGTTTACCATGCAACTCTAGCAATGTACGACACAAACGTCCAATATACTTTTTAACAAAACCAATGGAAACTATTCACCAGTTTTATAGGTTTATTTGTAATAACAGATTTTTAAAAGTGAATTAAAAACTAAGTCCTGATATCAATATGGTAAAACTATATAGGGCACAAGAAAATCTTAACTAATCTTTTGTTTAATGACGCATTCCACTGTGTGCCCTAAATAGAAGGCACAATATTATTTTACTAATTTGTTTTAAACCTGAAAATTAATAATAGATTTTACTCCCTTTCCACAATATTGTTGCTTTGTGCAAAGTATGAAAATATATGTTGGTACTTGTTGAATTCGTTTTTTGCAAATACCAAACATATCAATTCAGCAATGGATCTGAACAATATTAATTGTTTTACTTTCTTTTTTGCATTGTGGTAATTCAATTACATATCAATGTTCTGGTAGAGTAGATGTACTCCAGATAACACTGTCTAGCTGGTCCCCCAAAACATGCCTTCTCTTTATGATACCTGCCATGTGAATTAGCCTTCACCCTGAAATATGAGTGGCTCCTACTCTATTGGCCTTTTGCAAGTCCATGAAGATCTGGCTTTTCCACCAGACATTGATGGTGGGATGTTAGTTGTGTGTGGGGAGTTTCTAACAGTTTGTGTTTTTACTGAGCCTTCATGATGTGGTTTTAGTTAATATTTGCTTTAATGTAATTCTTCATTTTTATTTGTTTGCCTCCCAGAGTTTAACTCTTAAGAGGGTTAAAATAAAAATGGATGAATAAATAAAACTTTTAGCAGTAATCATACCAAGGCATTGCTCTCTGCTTTATACAATTTGTATCATTCAACAAAGACACATTAAAGAGCCATTTAAAAAGCTGTATGTTTCACAGAAGCATGGTCTGAAATTGTAATAACATCTACATCAAAGCATTAACTTTAGATATCAAAGAATGAATTAGCAGAGGGGGAAAAAACTAGCCTAGAGCAATTCTTACGTGTGGAAAAAGCAAACTATATTCTCATTAAAAAAAGATTAGTAGACTGCCAAATATCCACTAAGTTAGGTTTGGACAAATATTCTAGCAAAATACTATGAATCCAGGAATATCATTTGGATGGTAAAATGTTTCCATTAAAAAAAACTTTAATATGTAGAATTGCTACTTTATATAAATCTCATCAAAATCTTTCAATAAACATTTTACCTTTAAGAAGACCGAGTCTCTTCTGAAACAGCATTTTCAATTCCTATCAGACTTGTTTTCATCCCTATCCTATCTTCTAAATGAATGTCCCTTGTGTTGAGAAATAAACTTTATGAAGTTGTGAAATAATTTATGTGACATTTTTATCTAAATCTCATTCCTCTGAAGCTTTTATTTTTCTCTGTGATGGTTCAAAATCTTTGCCCATGGGAAATTTATTGTCTCATGAAGAAGAGCTAGCCAAGTAAATATGACCAACGTAATGCACATAATTGTTATGCACAAAATGAATATAGGAAGGGCTTGCTCACTGTCACTTATACCCTGGTCATTCACTGTTATATTACTCCAATGTGCTCTACAAGAGCCTCCATTTGAAGATCATTCAGCAACTACAGCCTGTCCAGATTGTGGCAATGCACAGCTTTATGGGCACCCCACATTTTGTCCATGTTACGCTGCTGATGGACAAATTGCACTGTCTTCCAGTTTCTTAATGGGTCAATTCAAAGTGCTGGTTATGATCTTTAAATCCCTAAATAGCATGGGATCGGGCTACTTGCAGGACTGCCTCTCCCTGAGGATGTCTGCCCATCCGACCGGGTCAGATAGGATGGCATGTTTCAGGTCTCTTCCCTTAAATTAGATTGCAGGACCTAGGAAGTGCGCCTTTCCTGTAGCTGCCCCTGCCTTGTGGAGCACCTTTCTCCAAGAACCTTGGCAAGCCCCTACTTTCATCTCTTCTGGAATGCCTCAAAGAACAGGTTTTTCCCCACAAAGGCTGAAGTAGGATGTGGTTGGAGCCCAATAAGATAGTGTTTGGATGTATGGGAGAGTGCTGCCCCAGGTGCCATGGTTTTTTGTTGAGTTTTATATTGATGGTTGGTACTTTTACTGTTTGATGTGCCACAAAGGGTTGTTACAATATAGGTGGCTATACATGTCAAATAAATAAGACACAATTCTACTTAAAAGAATTATCTACCAGCCTACACAGACCAGAATATCAGTCTTGCACTGCACGATTACAAAAGCGGGCTATTGAATAATTCAAGGATCAGACCAATCCCAAAATTTAGAAAATCTAAAGTTATTAAAGATACAATTTATAACAATGTTCTCTTAAACCTCACACACAATTATATAGCACAAGGGTGTCAAATTTATGTTGTCATGGCGGCATCATATGACATATCAGGACTTTTTTCCCCCTTCGCTAAACCGGGTGTAGGCATGGCCAGCACGTGACGAATCCAGCCCGTGGGCTATGAGTTTGACAGCCCTGATGTAGCAGAATAATTCTTCCCTCAGATTATCAAGCATTTTCCCCATGGTTAGAGTATACATGACCTCAAGTGCTTTAGCTGTTGATATGTACAGACCTTCAATGGTTGTCTATACCTGTAATCTCAAAATCTTTTCTTGGTGTCACTCAGCTTAGCTCACCCTGGGACTCTTCCAGCTGTTCTTTATTTCACAAGCCTTTTGTGACCTTTTGCAAATTCTTTAGCTCACAGGCCACAGGCCATTTTCTTAGAGGCTTCAGTATTCAGTTATGTGTTATCGCCTTTTGGGCAGCTTGAACTTATCCTATTTTCGGTCTTCAGCTGACCCCATTTTTCCATACAGCTCAGTACAATTCAGTTTACTTGCAGCTTTGACTTCGCTTATCACCGTTCTCCCTCATGCAAAATTTTCCTATTCATTCCCCATTCATGCTCTAAAATGTTATATTTTAAGCTATCAGTGAATATAGAAGTTAGAGTAATAATATAAATGAATAATTGTGATTACAAAAATTAGAAAAATAACCAAAGTAGAAATGTAAAGCTAGAGAACATGTCCCATCTAGTGGTGAGAATGCATTAATGTATCATTATTTAAATTTTCTAATTCTAAGAAACCCTCTGTGAAGAAACAAGGCTGTGCTTTGCATTAAGAGACATTTATTTAACTATGGTTTTACTGAAGAAGCTTAATTGATCCAGTTGCCCCAGAATACACATTATGGCCCTGATGGAATAAGACATCAGACAGCAGATTTACCCTCTGTTCAGTATAAGTTTTCTTTAGAGCAGTTGTATCTCCTGAGCTGCATCTACAGCTAAGAAAAAAATGAATCAGAGCTATAAAGATCCCAAGTCACAGCTTGCTGTATTCTTATTGCAACACATCCCAAATTCTCGCATCTGATCTGTACTGTCTTATTGGATATAGATTGAAAGTTCTCCAAAAATTGATATTATAGCCTATTTGAGGACATAGACTTCAAATTTAACAGGGAGATATATGAAAGGTAAGACTTTCGAATGAAGTACTATTTGTTGGCCTCAGTTGCTTCTCTTATTATTTCTATTGTTCCAGTCTCTCATTGTTTTTAAATTCTGAGGATTATTTTATGTTAGTTTATATTGTATTTTGATTTCTTATTTCCAGTTATCTTCAAATTATAGGTGATCTAGTGTCACTCTTGCTAATTGGGAAACCATAGTAATCTGCTGGTTCTAACATTAAAAGGAATAGCCTCCAAGTCAGAGGTGGGTTTCAAAATTTTTTTACTACTGGTTCTGTAGGTGTGGCTTGGTGGGCGTGGCATGGCTTGGTGGGCGTGGCTTGGTGGGCATAGCAAGGGAAGGATACTGTAAAATCTCCATTCCCACTCCACTCCAGGGGAAGGATACTGTAAAATCTCCATTCCCTCCCCAATCCAAGGGAAGGTTACTGCAAAATTTCCATTTCCTCCTGATCAGCTGGGACTTGGGAGACAGAGAATAGATGGGGGCAGGGCCAGTCAGAATTTTTACTACCGGTTCTCCGAACTCCTCAAAATTTCCGCTACCAGTTCTCCAGAACTGGTCAGAACCAGCTGAAACCCACCTCTGCTCCAAGTCATGATATGACATGGTGGTTAGAAACCACAGTGTGATGACTTTCTTGGTTAACTATACTGTAGTTCCAATAAAGGAGAATATTTGTAGTTCAGGGTTGAAATGAAAGGTCCTTAGTGCTTTCTGGGCTTGCTTGTTTTCTTGGAGAGAACTATAGTAGTTCTTGCAAAATAACTGTTGTTACTGTAGTTCTTGCAAAACATGGAAGGAAGCAGATTCTGTACATGAACAGGAGGGGACTACTGGATTATCTGTAGGATGCTACTATATATGGAATAGAAATCAGGTTTGGGGTTCAATGATTTTTCCAAAGAAATTGCCTGCTCAACTCAACTCAACAAGTTATTTTAAAATATAGCAATCCTTTATAAAGCCACAATAGGCATTAATTAGTTAATAACTTCATAAACTCCACTGCTTAGTAGTGAATTTACAGGCAAAAGGTATATTATGTACCAGTATATATGTATGGGTATAAAGATATTCTGTAGATATAGATACAGATAGATGTCTGCGTGTGTGTGTGAAACCTCCATTGCCTAGGGCCAGGATATTTGTCTCCAATTATCGTAGCTTATTTAACAAGGCAGCGATTGGCACATTCTGAATTCTTATTGATTATTTTTTTTCACTTCTATGATTTTGCTCTCCTGAAGTTGTACAATATCTCTAATATACTTCTATGATTACTACGTTAGGTGTTACTTCCAGAATACCCAATGCCACCTAGCATCTGACAGGTGGATCATCAACTCTTATTTTAAATCTCCTGATGTAATTTCAGTATCACTTTTTAGCTAATGCTTTTTTGAGTTGCAGCAATGAAACTTTCTGCATATTTATATGAGAAAATATGAGTAAAGATGTAACAAAAGCTTGTGCTTCCTTTTTGAGACTTGGAATACAATCAGCAAAATGGGCCCTTTGCCATTTTGGTATATTTGTTTCCTAATTATCAGCTTATCCTGACCCCAGTTTAAATATTTAATATGACTATTTAATTGAAATTCATTCTCTCTTTTTCCCACCCAGATTTGACAACCATTATTATTAGTAGTAGAGACCACTAATTAAAATATTGTTAGTCTTGGGTTTTTAATAGTTTTATCTGGGCAATTAATAATAGTTGGTGATATAGTTTTCTGCACCTTGCTTCTTTGCCCTTTTGGTCTACTCTGATATTAGTTACCACTAAATTTACTACTAAAGTTAAGATTTTTTTAAAAAAACCTCTAAGCCCTTTTTCAGTCTACTATCTTGACCGAAAATGAATTCTTAGGGATGCAAAAGTGTGCATTAAAAATCCTTTAGTTGGCTTAATACAGATATTGCCCATAGAAAGGCCCTGGCACCTTTCACTTATCCCTACTCTGTGGTGCTTGCTTCAGTTCACTGAGTGCTCTAAAAGTTATATGCTTCCATGTGCTCAGTGCATTAAATTTTAATTTAGCATGTGAACATAACTATGTTCTGATCTTGCAATTTGAAAGATTTTTCTTGACGTTAAATATTTTCATACCTTCTTCATTCATACACAGCCCATGACATATTGCTTAAACATTCAGATACTACCTAAATAATAACAGTAACATTGCAAAACTAGTAATGAACTCTGCTGTCATCTGTTTCTTGCTCACTAAATATCCAATTTGTTTACTTACTTTATGTGCTTGAAAAGTTTTTTTTAAGTAAAATGACAACTTCTTGTTAGTCTGGGGACCTCTAGTGGACAACACTAGAGTGATGAAACAATTGGGAAGAATTCTAGAAGTCATATTTTGCATGCTTTCCTTACTTTTTTTAAAAAGAACTTGTATATTGTTGGCAAGGTGAAGCCTATTAGAGCAAAACATTTTACTAAGAAGTCTAACTTCAGCTGCAACTCTTACTTCTACTGTTACAATTATTATTCAGAATAATAAAAATAATGTAAAAAGAAAGAAACACCCTGACATTGCTTAGTAAGAACAAGTAAGTAGTTCATGAGCCACTCTTTATGTTGTCTTCTCTTATTCCTATTTAAAAGTAAGTGTAGGAAAAGTTACATTTTCTAACAACTGCATAGTACAGATGATACCTGATTTATGACCACAATTGAGCCCTAAATTTCTGTTGTTAAGCAAGATAGTTGTTAAGTGAGTTTTGCCCCATTTTACAACCTTTCTTGCCACAGTTGTTAAATGAATCCCTGCATTTGTTAAGTCAGTACCATGGTTGTTAAATGAATATGGTTTACCCATTGATTTTGCTTGTCAGAAGGTCGCAAAAGGTGGTCACATGATCTCAGTCATAAATATATGCCAGTTGCCAAGCTTCTGAATTTTGATCATGTGTCCATGGGAACGCTGCAACGGTATTAAGTGTAAAAAATGGTCATAAGCCACTTTTTTCAGTGCTAACTTTGAATGGTCACTAAATGAACTGTTGTAAGTCAAGGACTACCTATGGTTACAGGCTATGCTAATGTTGGACAACCAACAGACTTAGAATTGTTGCATTTCTTGCAGTTCGAGTATAGCCACTGAGGATAAATGCTTGGAGCTGTAATTTAGCAACACTTTGAGGCCAGCAATTATCTAATCCCATCTTGAAGAATGCAGTTATCTAAGAAAATAAAATGAAAAACAGTAAAAACAACTTTAAACAATTTAAACCTGATTTATTTGAATGAAGAGAAACTGGAACCCTTTTCTGCCCCAAAGCACCTACTTTGTAAGCAGAATAATCCTTTGAGAGGCATCTTCCAAACAAAGCAACATGTCTGACCATTTGGCCAGAGTCATCAACATTCTCTTTAGGAGTTTTACACTGAAGTTATCTTGAGTAAATTCCAGGTTTACACCCTATATGATGAATCTGTTTTATATTATTTGTACATTTTCTAGCTATTGATGCTTTGCAAACTATCTTGGAGATTTTAAAAAATAGGTACTAAATATTTTAATATTTTAATAATTTAATAAGCAAAGATCAATTTCATTTTATCTGTCCATATAATGTTTTATTACAAATCGGTCTATTTGATAGGGTTCAAGTTGTTCCTACCAATTTAGCCAGAATGATGCAATAATCTTTCTGTAGAAAAAACACTATGAATCATTCTGTATTGGTCCCTGTGATGGCCGCTGGAAAAATATAATTATTACCAAGTGTTATTCTGATGAATAGTATGTCTAATGGAGCTCTGTTCTGCTGAGTCTAGCATTGAAATAAGGGCATCATAAATTATGCGTACACATTACAGAACTAAAACCTTTGTAATACCTGAAAAGTACTTATTACCGGTGTCAAAACAGCATTGCACCCACAGCATTTTTTTAAAAATAAATTATCAGCATTTTTGCTACTTCAAAGAGTCCTTGTATTAACTTTGAGAGTGCCATGTAAAAAACAATATGAATGTTACATTTATTTTGCTGGAATGCAGACTAGAATTTCCATGAATAAAATATTTGATAATATTCATGGCTGATATCAGGAATGTAACGTCAACTTTTTGATTCATTAAATTTTACCAACAATGGCAATTTAATAACTGATCTCAAAATATGAGTGAGACTGAAAAGTCTTTAGTAGACGCTGATCTGTCTGCTCAGATAAGAATGATGATGTAGCATGGGTAATCATGCAGCTTATCAGGAAAAGGTGAGCCAAGAAGAACATATGTTCAGCTTAAGTGTCAGTCTAGGTGACTACTTTTTATTACAGATTGTTTTGCCTTAGCAAGGTAGTAAGTTTAATTCAGCTTCAAAGGAGAAACTGAGGAAAAAATTCAGGGATTTTATTAAATGAAACAGAATATTAATGGTTCCTTTATGTCCCGTTATGCCTCTCAGAAGGATAATAAGGAATGTATTACTACAAATTATATAACTTAAACATGTATATCTTAAACCTAAGCAATGTTTTACCAAATAGCAAGAAAACATATAAATCATACATCTACCTTAAGCCAAGCTTCCTATGTATCATTTAAAAATAATAATTTAACTATTTCACTAATATAAGCAGAATGGGAAAGAAATGGATTTAACTAATATAATATATAAGGTAAAGGTAAAGGTTCCCCTCACACATATGTGCTAGTCGTTCCCAACTCTAGGGGACGGTGCTCATCTCCGTTTCAAAGCCAAAGAGCCAGCGTTGTCTGAAGATGTCTCTGTGGTCATGTGGCCAGCATGACTATACGCCAAAGGCGCACAGAACATTGTTACTTTCCCACCAAAGGTGGTCCCTATTTTTCTACTTGCATTTTTTACATGCTTTCAAACTGCATGATATAACTATTATAATCTAATAATCTAATCAAACTGTAATATAATCTATAAGCATGAGCAAAAGAGGTGCTTGCCACTAAACTTCCGTGCCGTATCTTCCACACTGTTGTATATAAGGAAGAACTGTTTTATCTTTTGTGCTGCATGATTTCTGTAATTCCATTCTGTTCCTTATCAATAACTTTTTTCTAGCAACTAGTGTTGCATGAAGCCACTAATGTCTTACACTTAGAAAATTTGGCTATTGTACCCAATAATACTTCTTTTCTCCAAAAAATTGGTAAAAAGTAATTATGAATATTTAGAACTAACATCCCTCCCTGGTACTGAAGGTGTTTTAAAAATACCTAAAAATTTAAACTATCTCCTCTAAGTTGTAATAAAAATGCAGTAAAACATGACTACACTTTGTTCATCATAAAACTATTCAATACAATCAGTACACATTAAAAAGATGGAGCTCTGAGTGCACTGTTGTGGTTGCCATCTTCAACTTTGAATCACGGTCCCCATGATCAGACTGGAGCCACTCAGATCTCCTCTTGAGTAGATATTCAGGGGCAAAGGGACAAAATGCAAGCAGTGAAGATTTTCTTCCCTCCAATAGATACTGTATGCTCCATGTGTGGATTTCTGCTTGTGAAAGTCTCATATATTCAGATCATTTTTTATTTTATTTTTATTCTATCTTTCCTTTTAGAAATTATCTTTTAGAGCTACTTGGAAAAGGAGGGAACACTGCTTCTCTAAGCCAAGAATAAAGGTTGATTTTCCTTGGTTCCCCTCTTAGGCTGGCTTTCCAGGCCTTTAATTCAAGACCAGCTATTGTTAGGTGGTTTGTTCTGATCGCAACAGGCTGCTCCTTGAGGCAAAAGGAATCATATCAATGAATGTGATTGTGTAGAGGACCAAGGAGGAGCTATGGAAAAAGACATTTTTTCGTTTAGAAAATTAGACTACTGGATAATGGCTATAAAAATGAACTAATAAAACATCCTCCTTGAATGTCCATTGTAGATGTATACAGCCATGCTGTACCCGAAAAGAGCTTTGGTATTTTTTTATTATATTAAATGTATCTAAGTGAAATATTTTTCATCCCTTTTCTATTTCAGAACAGAATGCATGTCTATGTGGAGTGCTGAAACATCTGTGACCTATTTATTCACCCAAAATGAAGAAGATGTATAGTGGGGGGAGAAAATTCATCTTGTTGACTTGTTTCCAAAATTTTCTGGGATTATACTTTTTCTGTTCACTTCATTAGATACACTTCTTCATGCCCCAATTTCTTTTAAAGCTTTCCAGAGTTTGTTTGTTTTTTAATTAAAGCAAACTACACCAAACAAAGATGTACTGTGTTTTGCTGAGTCCCAGTTTGGGACTGAAATATTCATAGTTACCTTTTCCCAATTCTTGGGGAAAAGGAGTACTCACTGGCTACAGTGGTCCAAACAGTTGAGACAGCACTTAGCCAGCTTTAGCTGAATTTAGCTGATCCAAGTGAGATAAAAACTAGTTGCTGCTTCTATATTGTTGCAAGAGAACTGTGATGACCCAGGGCATGGCATGAAAGCAACACAACCAGAGAACATGTCCAAGTCCAAATCCAAATAGTGGGAGTCAGATTTGAGTTGTGGAAGACTATACCTTTATTCATGGACATGCATAAGTTGGTCAAGAGTGTCAAACTGACAAGCATAACCAGAAGATCAAAGATCTGACCCAAGGATGAACAGGTTCTGGAGAACTGGTAGCGGAAATTTTGAGCAGTTCGGAGAACCGGCAAATGCCACCTCTGACTGACCCCAGAGTGGGGTGGGAATAGAGATTTTGCAGTATCCTTTCCCTGGAGTGGAGTGGGAATGGAGATTTCGCAGTATCCTTCCCCTGGAGTTGGATGGGAAAGGAGATTTCGCAGTATCTTTCCCCAGCCACGCCCACCAAGCCACGCCCACAGAACCGGTAGTACAAAAATTTGGATTTCACCACTGGTCTGACCCCTTTTAAAATGTATCACACACAAGCAAAAGGGAATTGGCTTTTGATCATTTGGTCATGCTCACAATTGTCATGCACAGTTGACTATTTCCTCCACATGGATGTTTCAACCTTTATGTTAACATAATAGAAGTGAAACATTTCCTTCATGCTCATGGCAATGTCTGTTTTGATGTATAATAAAACAGAAGTTTAAGCTAGATAAAACTGAGGTCAGTATGTTTAATGTTTGGCCAATGAAAAATCTCCTTTACTAAAAAAATTCATAAATAAGCATTTATGATTAGAAATCTCATTTTCTAGTTAAGAACCACTGTAGGAAAATATTTTTACTGTATTTGAAAGTAAGCATGTATGGTTGCATCAGATGTGATTGGAATGGTTGACTGAAATAAATAACCATAGTTCAGAGTATATTAAACTTGCCCAAGGTATAATTTAGAGTTTCAGGGATCTGTGGAATCTCCCGTTGCAAAATTGCTTAGAATAGTAGCCATCTAAGGATGAGTACTTTTTTCTGAGTACATTATTTATTTTATTTATTTATTTATTTATTTATTTAATTTTTATACCGCCCTTCTCCCGAAAGACTCAGGGCGGTGAATAGTTAAAATAACATACATATAAAATGTGAATATAAGATGATTAAGCTAATTTGGTTCATCGGTTAAGAATCTTCAGCATAAAGATTTAGAACAATTAGAAGAGATTTATGCCAGCCTGGCTTGGTGAAACAGAAAGGTCTTAAGTGCACGACGGAAAGTACGAAGATCTGGGATCATTCGTATCCCTGGGGGTAACCTGTTCCAAAGGGTAGGTGCCCCCATAGAAAAGGCTCTTTCTCTGGGAATCACCAGTCGACATTGCTTTAGTGACGGCACCCTGAGGAGGCCCGCCCTGTGGGAGCGTGCTGTTGGTGGGAGGTTATTGGTTGCAGAAGGTGGTCTCGTAGGTACCCAGGTCCTAAGCCATGGAACACTTTAAAGGTAAGAACCAACAGCTTGAAGCTCACTCGGAAGACCACCGGGAGCCAGTGCAGCTCGCGTAGGAGAGGTGTTATATGTGAGCGCCATGTCGCTCCCAATATCACCTGCGCAGCTGCATTCTGGACCAGTTGGAGCCTCCGCGTGCACCTCAAGGGGAGCCCCATGTAGAGAGCATTACAGTAGTCCAGACGGGAAGTGATGAGGGCATGAGTGACTGTGCGTAAGAAGTCCCGATCTAGAAAGGGTTGCAACTGGCGAATCATGCGAACCTGATAGAAAGCTCCCCTGGCCACGGCTGTCATATGCTGTTCTAAAGACAGCCCCGTGTCCAGGAGGACACCTAAGTTGTGAGCTCTTTCCGTGGGGGCCAATGACTCGCCCCCAATAGTCTGCGATGGTATCAGCTGGCTATATCGGAACACCGGCAGCCACAGCCACTCGGTCTTGGAAGGGTTGAATCGGAGCCTGTTTCTCCCCATCCAAATCCGCATGGCTTCGAGTTACCGGGACATCACTGCAAGGGCATCATTGGGGTGGTCTGGGGTGGAGATGTACAGCTGAGTATCATCAGCGTAAAGATGGCACTGCACCCCAAAACCACGGATTAGCTCACCCAGCAGCTTCACATAAATGTTGAACAGAAGAGGTGAGAGGACCGACCCCTGAGGCACCCCACAAATAAGGTGTCTTGAAGTCGACCTCTGCCCTCCTGCCAACACAGACTGCGACCGGTCAGAGAGATAGGAAGAGAACCACCATAGAACAGTGCCTCCCACTCCTAGCCCCTCCAGCCGGTGCAGCAAGATACCATGGTCAATGGTGTCAAAAGCCGCTGAGAGATCTAATAAAACCAGGATAGAGGAGCAACCCCTATCTCAAGCTCTCCAGAGATCATCAACCAATGCGACCAATGCCGTTTCAGTACTGTAACCAGTCCTGAAGCCGGACTGGAACGGATCTAAGTAGACAGTTATGCAAACAATATTGAAATATTGCAGGTTATACATAGCAGCAAAGAATCCATTTGCTATTGCTTGTCTCATTCAGCATTCTACTTAGGACAGTATCATTATTCATATCATTATATTGTAGATGGCTATGATATTACTAGGACTTTGAAAAGCAGCCTTCTGTAAATAATGTATCAGAGCTGTTAATAATAGTCATATACAGTAAGTTGCCATTTTTATTTTTCATTTTTTCAGGGGGATTTTTTGCCTTATTTGCTTGCATTTGTACTTTGATGGTTTCTTTTGAAGCTGTAAATGAGAACTCTGAATGCTGAAGATTAGCATATAAATGGTTAAATAAACTTTTCAAAAATAAGGAATCTCCTTAAGCCAGCACTTTGAATACCTTAAAAATAAATGAACACATAAATATCTTATTCCTTTAGTTAGGGTAGATCTTTTTCCTTGATTAACCTTTGTTCTGATAAAACTACCCTGCCACTTCTAATCTTTGTGAAACCTATGTTCACAATAGAGAGCTCTACATGGAAACTCCGTAGCGACCATCTTGCAAACAAATCTTGTTTCTAATCCACGGCATCATCATTTTCTTTTTGCGTAGGAAAAAGATTGGACACAGTAATACTATGGCTGAATTCACACTTTATGCTAAACCACAGTATACTGCAGCTTGTTAAGTTTTGGCTTAGTGTGTTATGTGACCTTACTAATTGTGATTTATAAGCCATGGTTTATAGATTAGCATGTTCGATAAACCTAGGCATTTATTCCATGATCCACATTTCAATAAACCATGATTTAATACAACATGCCCTTACCTAGACAAGAAACCACCTTATTTGGCTCGCAGAGCTTTGTGCTGGATTTGTTGCTCAAGTGTGTTTTTATTCTGTCTATAAAAAATGGTCGAAGGGGGAATTTTACATTGGGAATATTGCTTAAGGGTTACCTTTCTTTCCTAATTGTCCTTCATATATCTATGCAGCTGAAACAGCTAAAAGCCTGCTATTTCTGAGCATTCCGAAGAACAATACAAAAATGAATCCACCCTAGTGTTGGTTTCGGAACAGCAGCAGAAGCAGCATGTGGAAGAAAATCAGCCCATGTGTTAGCTAGCATGCTGGAGGAAGAACAACTTCCAGCTCCAGGGGGGGCAATACCATTGAGCTTGGCTTGGAATGTGGGCCCTCTGCACATTGCCACTTTCAGAAGCAGAGGGGAACTTGCAGAGAAGACTTTAACCAAGCTGATGCACAAGGAATCAGATCTGCTGCAAAATGGGAACTATTCAGAAAGCAGAACTGCAAACATCACTGAAAGATGTGACTATATTTTGTACCCCCGTCAATAACACCATCGAGAAAGGCAGCAGAATGGCCTCCCTGACTGAATACGGTAAAACATCTCTTACTATTACATATATATATGTGTGTGTGTATATATATATATGTGTGTGTATATATATATATATATATATATATATATATATATAGTTAGCAGTGAGGATCTTACATTTGTATAAAAATATGGGATCATTATGATATCTTAGTCTGTGTGCAACGAAGTATTAGGTTTCCAGGTTCCTTGCTTCAGTAGGAAAAAGCAGCATTATGGAAAATCACCTTGCTGTCTTTTTATTTACTCAAGACTGTATGACTATGTTCATATGAAACATGGCACATTACTATCTAGCCAGTCACATTTTAGCCTAGCATGTTCATGTGCCCAGTTTACTGTGAGTTCTCTGTGTAGAGCAACCACAGAAAATTAGGTTAAAATAGGAAATTAAATGTTTTGCTAACTATGAGGTAAGCATGTTGTGTGAACGCAGCCATTGGATGTCTAAGATAGACTCACTTTTGTTGGCTGAAGGGAAAATGCTTCATTGTACTTTTAAGACAATTTTTACAGTTTTGGTTTCAGATGCAGTGAAATGCTAGAACTGAGCATGAGAATTCCAGAAAGAATAATGTAGCCTGAACTTTTATACATATTAAGACAGAAGTAGTTTTGGATAGAACTGAATTTATTTCTGAGTAAATACACGTAGGAACGTTTTGCAAATGTGTGTTTGGGGCTCATGCTGCTATTTTGGTTTCTCTATTAGTACTGTTAAAAGTTCATTTTAAAATTTACAGCAAACATTTTATCTGCTGCCATTTAAAACATTGGGGTATCACTTGATCTGTCAAAAATAATCATTTATAAACATTAGTGCCATTAATGCCAGACTAAAAATACCACCAGTGATCATTTGGAAGAATTGGAAACTATATGTATCTATTGCATAGTAAAGGAAGAGCAGCATCTCCACAAATCAAGGTTTTATTAATTGCTATTTTTCTTTCTGGCATATAAATGTTGGTATACTATTTATGAGTGCTAGATCCAC